GAAGTCCTCATATTTTTGCCCACTGGCCTCAAACTGAGTTGCAATCCTCCTTTCCTGACTAGCTTAGAGTAGAAGGTGAACAAACTTTATTTAGAAAGGCTTTAGTTGGCACCGCACCGTCACGGTAAGAGAACACTACAGCTTGCTTGTATCATGACATAAACTTGGGAATGAGGTAGGTAGGTTAGGTATCGGCTTCTTAAAACAAGGCCCAGAGAGGTTATGTCATGTGTCTGGGGCCTGGTGGAGGGGCCGGCTCTGGCCTGTCCTCCGGCTGTCTGGCCCCTTCCCCGCTCCCCAGGTGCCTGGTGCTTCCACACCTCAAGGCTCTGCTCCTTCCAGGAACCTTGATGCAGAGCCTGGAGCTCTGGGGACTGAGCTCAGGGAGGTGTGCTGGAGCAAGGGTGTGACTGCTGCCATCTGAGGAGCAGATCCCCCCTAGCAAGGGGCGCCGGCGATCAGCAAGTTCACCAACAAGCTGACCAGCCGTCATAAAGATACAACCTGGTGCTTACATGGATAGTATATAGGTCATTCGTCTGCTGTCAGGTTTTCTTTGTTTCCACACAAGATTTCAACCCCAAACAGCAGAATGGATTGAAAGCGGGGAGCCGCTGGGGCAGCGGGCAGCCTGGTGCAGAATCTACCCCCCCCGCCCACCCCCCACTCCTCTCTCCTTCAGGAGAGGACAGCAGTCCCGTGTTGACTGACACGGGCAGGCGGTGTCTCCACGGCAGAGTGCCACCAGGCAAACCCTGAGATAAAAAGTCATAAATAGACCGGGAGCCTGAGCCCCAGCCAGCTTCGGTGTCCTTGGGCTGGAGGGCCCACAGGCCTGGTCCCAGGTGGGGCCAAGGGTACAGAGCAGCTGCTGTGGAAATTTCCATGAGCGTCCACCCCCTCTGGGAGTCCCTGAGTACAAGGAAGATGTGGTTTACGAAAGAGGGAGAAGACATGGACCCTGCTGCTGGCCCGGCCCCAGGAGCGTCCCGCAGCGCCTGCCAGGAGCACAAAAGGACAAACAGGTTGCAGAGCAATGCTGTAAATAAGGTCAAGTCACGCAGCCGCTGTACCCTCAGACCAGCTCCCCTCCCATCGCCCTCCACTTGTTCAAATTAGAGCAGCCCCTCTAAGGAAAACCTGTGGAGGAGCACTTCCCCTACAACTGTCTCTACTCACAAAGAGATCCCAAACAGTATGTTCATTTCTAACAGGAAAAATGCTTGCAGCACCTAATATACAATATATTATTCCCTGGAATACCCTTAGGAACTCAGGTTAAGTTACAAAATAATTTAAGGCATAAATCAATGAAAAGCCAGAAGAGGAGAGGGGGAAGGTGTCCGTGGGTGGTGGAGCACTTCCTATCCTGTGCGTGACCTGGATTCACTCCAGAGCCGCCAAAAATTATTAGGAAATACCAGTTCCGTGTCTTATCAATTGTTACCCGAAGCTTGAAGTCAGATGCAGGCTCGGGTCTTAGGAACCTGTGCCACGCACTCGGGTATGAACAGACGCGCACTCCTGTCTAGAGTGCAGTCGTGCACATGCAGTACAGGTGTAGGTGTGCTGTGTGTGTATAGGTATGACTGCGCTCCGGCGTGAGCATGCACGTGCATGCAGCACGCAGCACACAGCTCTGTTTGGGGAGCACTGCGGACTGAAGGAGGGAAGTGGGAAGTGAATGAATGCTTGCAGGCAGGATGCGGGAGTGTCTGGCAAATCCTGGCATCTCCAGTTCACTTCTGCTGCCCGAGCCGTGTCCTAGGTTTCCCCTAATGAGTCAATGCAGAGTCAGGACCGGAGCCGACGATGAGCTGGGTGGGGTAGGAGTGTGGTGCAAGAGGAGTGTGAAGGACTTTGGAAAGAACAAGACTGTGGACCTGTGTGTGTCTGTGGTGTTTGTTTTCCGGACAGAAACCCAGGGCCTTGGCATGCTGGGCAAGCACTGTGCTCTGAGCCGCGTCCTGCAGACTTGGATTAACGTGTTTGTCTCAGGATGCTTTCACAGGTTACTCCCTGTGCTTTGCTGTATATAAAGTATGTCCTCCATGAAGCCCTGAAGTGTGAAGGTCTGACGATGCACTGTGGCTTCATCCTTGTGCTATTGTGTGTTGGAATTACCCTGAAGGAGATGAGCTAATATGAGGGGACTGGGACCAGCCCACACCTAATAAAGGGGCCAGGCCCGGAGCTTCTCCTGTGGGCTGGGAGCCTGGGTGGTAGCAGGATTAATCAGCTCTAACTGTGCAGTCAGCTAATTACCAGCATTAGGAATCCTTTAAGTCACACAGCGGGAGGCTGGGGTGCTGACCTGTGGAAAGGTGGGGTGCTGGGCTCCAGATGGGCCCCTCACTCACACTGGGGACGGGATTCTTGGGGCTCTGCCAGGTGGCCCAGATGCCAGGCTGGAAAACAGGGGAAGCAAGAGCGAAAGAATCAAAAGTGTGCAGGGGAGGGGGCTGGGGAAGAAGACAGGGGTCACTCACAGAACCCCAGGGGAAAGGTGGAGGACGTTCCAGTACTGTCTTATTTAAACAAGCAAGGCAGAGCGGAGGGCACGCACGCCTGCCGGGGAACTGTGTGCAGGCCTGCCGGCCGTGTACGCAAACCGACAAGGGACTTGAGCCGCGGCTGTGTTGATGCGGGGGGGGGGGGGGGGGGGAGGGGGGGGGTTGGGCTGGAGCAGGCAGGAGACCACGGAGCTGGGGTACTTCACTTCTGGGGGGACAGGGTCATGGTGTTGGCCAGGCTGGCCTTGAACCTGCAGTCCTCCTGCCCCCCTTCGTGGATGCTGGAATTATAGGCTTGTACCACCATGTCTGGCCACAGCATTAAAAAAAAAGACAGATGAGTAATTAAGTGTGTGCTTTTCCTACTGAAAGAGGGAAACGTTTGCCAGAATGTTAGGGCTGTTTTAAAATCGTTTAATACTGGACGTGTAAGGGCCAAGCGGAGGTCATTCAGTGAGCATCTCCCAGCGCCGGTTTGGTAAGGTGTAAGAAGTTGGTGTGTGCGAGCAGTGGTAGAATCAGGTCTTGTTTAGCAGGGCTGGACGGAGCCCAGCTCCTAACACCTGCTCATTTAAGTGCCGGCTACGTCCTCAGCCCGGGAACCTGCTAGAATTCTTGCTTCCTTCTACTCAGTGAGTAGAATTGTTGAGAGATGGATTTTAGTAGCTGGCCCTGTGGCTCGGCCGGCAGGTGGGGGTGGTGGGAGTGTGTGTGGGGGGGAGCCAGCCCGGGTCTAAGAGACTTCCTGCTTGGGATGGCCCCTCCCTCCAGCACCAGGGACTTTTCCGAGGTGCAGTTGTGACTGGCACTGCACCAAAGGGAACCAAAGACAATGCTGATATTAAGGCGGCAAGGCGGCTGGAGCAGGAACAGGAACAGGGCAGCTGTACAGATGCCCTCAGGACATTTCTTCCAGAGCTCGCGGAAGGTAAAGCTCTTCCACCTTAAATCCAGCCATAAACAAAAGAGTTGCAGCTGGACGACCCGAGTCCTCTTACACTACTCAGAAATAAGGGACGAAATTATCAACCTTTACTGTATTCTGCAAGATGTGCAAATCCCGCAGACCTGGTCTCTGTGGGTCACAGTGAGAGGAAATGATAGAAAATAAAGGTCCTTTTAATTCAATTTACAAGTCTTTTCAATATACGTATGGTAATTAGTACAATATTTTGCAGGGAACATGAAATGTCCTGCACTGTTGGAATTACTAAGTAACAGTAACTCAGACTATCACTTTACTGTTCATATTATATGACGAGTTATGCTTTGTCTTCAGTGCATCTGTGCGTTTACCTACTTAACCCCTAACAGTGGTTAGTGGTACAGAGAGGAGACTGAGTCACAGAGTTTAGATAGTTCAGGACCATAGTTAGAAATAGGCAGAGCTGGTGTTCTAGCCAGGCTTCTGGCTCTTCTGTTCATGTTCTTACTTGTTTTCTGTGTGTTGTTACTGGAGCTTGAACTCAGGACCGCATGTTATTACTTTGCCTTTTAGCCTAGGCTGGTGTTCTTCCACTTAAGCCACACATCCCGTTCCCCATCTTTGTGAGTGCTCATTGCCAGTGGCTGTTCCCAGGTGCTGGGCTTCTAGTGGTGGACATACCCCCAGTGTCTGTGCTCACTGGTGCTCCATTTGGATACTAACTGAACACAACACAGTAGGTAATAAGAAGTACTAAGAAGAAAAATACAAAGCAAAGGCCAGGTATGGTGGCTCCTGTCTGTAATCTCGGCTACTCAGGAGAGAGAGAATGGGAGAAGTACGGTTCAGGCCAGCCTGGCAAAAAGTCAGATCCCATCTCAGCTGAGCAGTGTGGCACACACCTGCAACCCTAGCTGCAGCTGTGACCGGAAGGCAGAGGTGAAGAACTGCAGCCCACATCTGGCCAGGGCAAAACTGCAAGACCTTCTCCATTCATCATCAAAGCAGAAAACGGACTGGGGACATGGCTCGAGTGGTCGAGGACTTGCCTGGCGAGCACAAGGCTTTCAGTTCAAACTCCAAAACACAAAAAAGAAAAATAAAGCAAGGTGAGGCGGGAAGGCTGTGAGCGGGCGGTGGAGCCAGGCTGGCCGGGGCGGGGCGGGGAGCCTCGGAGCGTGGCCTGAGTGGGCAGGAGCAGAGCTGAGACTTGCTGGCGCAGAGACACTGGATTTGATGCCGAGGGGGCTGGGGGTTAGCAACCACATGACCTGCCTCTTGCTTTACAGGAAGGAACAAAGGACCACTGTGGGAGACGTGGGAGCAGGGGAGGGGCCGGCTGGCTGTTGAAGGACACGGGTGCAGGTGAGCACTGGCCAGATGACGCCGGCCTGGCCCGGGCTGCAGTCGGCTGATTCAGCAGTGTTTTGAAGATGGAAGAATTTACACCATCTTCTGTGTGCAGCTGACGCGAGGCAGACAAAGGGGCTTGGAAGGAAGGAGCGCTGCTTCTAAGAGGGAGAAGTGGGGGGGGGGGGGGGCGCCCAGGGACGAGGCAAACGATGGCGGTGGGAAGTAGGGAGATGTCGGCAGACATGGAAGAACAACCACCTTTGGAAAACTGAGGAGCCTGCTGAGAACAGCTCTGCCACCGAACAGGGAATTCAACAGGCGAGGTGCGTGGCGTGACGTGGCTCCAGCGGCCGTGGGAGGTCTTGGGAAACGGCCATGGAGGGGCAGCTGGAGCTGAAACGCTGCAATTGTGAATCATCTGTTTGCCTGTCCACCGGCTCCCTGGAAAACCTTGCTTGCAAAGCTTTCTGTGTCACATCTGACTTCTGTTCCCCTATTGTGAAAAGCCTTTTTCCCCAGAGGACATTTGTAGGAACAAAAAACCAAAAAAACAAACCATTGTAGGCGTGCGCAGTGACTTACGGGAGTGGGTAGGTAGTTGGGTAAATTAGATTAAGTTGGGTGCCAGGCAATGAAATGTGTGCACATCTCTGGACTCCAGAGGGCCGGGCCTGGCTCAGGGAAGAGAAGAGAAGGCCCTTGATTTTCACCTTCCAGTGACCTGGAGACTGGCAAGTTGGACGATGGGTTGAGGCAGACCCCTCGGCTGCCCAGCTGGAGCCAACAGCACCCACAGCCCCTTGGCAGACAACGGGGGACCAACTGGTTCCAGCACCTGAAGAAATCGTGTCTTCAGCTAACAAGCAAATCCAGTAGAGCTCAGAGGTCACAGACAGCAACAAAATACGCCTCACGCACTGACTTAGAAAAGCCTCTGAGCAAACAATAAAAGATATAGAAAGAAGCAACAACCACAGGCAAGAAGCTGGTTTCCAAAGATGCCACACTGTTAGTTTAAATACCCAGTTTTCAACAAAAGCAGCAACAAAGACAGAAGAAAATATAATCCCCACAACAGAGCAAAAAGGACACTGAACATGGTAGACAAGACTTTAAATCACAGGGTTGGGAAGGTGGCTCAGTGGTAAAGCGCTTGCCTTGCATGCCTATGGCCCTGGGTTCGATTCCTCAGCACCACATAAGCAAAAAGAAAAAAGCCGGAAGTGGCGCTGTGGTTCAAGTGGTAGAGCGCTAGCCTTGAGCTGAAGAGCTGAGGGACAGCGCCCAGGCCCAGAGTTCAGGCCCCATGACCGGACCCAAAAAAAAAAATTAAATCACATTTCAAATATATCCACAGAGCTAACTGAACCAAAATAGGAGAATGTCAAATCCAATGCTCAGCTCTCAGCTTCCCAAGTAACTAGGATTATTATTATTTTTTTGGGTCCGGTCATGGGGCCTGAACTCTGGGCCTGGGCGCTGTCCCTCAGCTCTTCAGCTCAAGGCTAGCGCTCTACCACTTGAACCACAGCGCCACTTCCGGCTTTTTTCTTTTTGCTTATGTGGTGCTGAGGAATCGAACCCAGGGCCTTGAGCATGCAAGGCAAGCGCTCTACCACTGAGCCACCTTCCCAGCCTAGTAACTAGGATTATAAGCATGGGTCCTAGCTTTGTATTTTTTATTTTCTTTTTTTTTTTTTTTTAAAAAAAAAAGGAACCAAAATTATAAAAGGGCTAATGGGCGTATAAAGAATAAAATGTAACTATGGCAACAATAGTACAAAGAATAGAGAATGGAATTGCATAGAAGCAAAGGTTTTGAAAATCTATATTGATATTTAGTAGTAATCCGAACTAGAATGTTAGTCCCCAAACGATCCACAAGAGAGAGAGAGGCGGAGCGCTACGCCGCCTGCCATGTTTGAGAACCACCCTTGGCTAGCATGCTGGTGGGCTGCGGTGGGGGAAGCCTGTGTGTTGGCCAGCTTTCCAGTACTTTCCAAGATGATCAACTTACAAGCGGGTGAAGGTGGCTCTCCTCGCGTTGGAGGTTTCAGTCCCTGGTTGGTGTGTTTGGGGCTGTGATGAGGAGGCCGCCATGGCTGCTAGGGCTGGGGGGACATCGCCCGACCCCGCGGCTGGGGTGCGGACAGGAAGCGGGGTCCCAGTGCCCTTCGCGGACACGCCCCTGGGGTGCGGACAGGAAGTGCCCACGGCCCCGCCCACACCCCACCCACGGCCCCGCCCACAGCCACACCCCCGCCCACGGCCCCGCCCACGGCCCACTCACAGCCACACCCCACCTACGGCCCCGCCCACTCACAGCCACACCCCCACCCACGGCCCCGCCCACGGCCCACTCACAGCCACACTCCACCCACGGCCCCGCCCACATCCCCGTCTACCACGGCCCACTCACAGCCACACCCCCACCTACGGCCCCGCCCACGGCCCACTCACAGCCACACCCCCACCCACGGCCCCGCCCACATCCCCGTCCACGGCCCACTCACAGCCACACCCCCACCCACGGCCCCGCCCACGGCCCACTCACAGCCACACCCCCACCCACGGCCCCGCCCACGGCCCACTCACAGCCACACTCCACCCACGGCCCCGCCCACATCCCCGTCTACCACGGCCCACTCACAGCCACACCCCCACCTACGGCCCCGCCCACGGCCCACTCACAGCCACACCCCCACCCACGGCCCCGCCCACATCCCCGTCCACGGCCCACTCACAGCCACACCCCCGCCCACGGCCCCGCCCACGGCCCACTCACAGCCACACCCCACCTACGGCCCCGCCCACTCACAGCCACACCCCCACCCACGGCCCCGCCCACGGCCCACTCACAGCCACACTCCACCCACGGCCCCGCCCACATCCCCGTCTACCACGGCCCACTCACAGCCACACCCCACCTACGGCCCCGCCCACGGCCCACTCACAGCCACACCCCCACCCACGGCCCCGCCCACATCCCCGTCCACGGCCCACTCACAGCCACACCCCCACCCACGGCCCCGCCCACGGCCCACTCACAGCCACACCCCCACCCACGGCCCACTCACAGCCACACCCCCACCCACGGCCCACTCACAGCCACACCCCCACCCACGGCCCCGCCCACGGCCCCGCCCGCCTCTTCCCCGCCCGAGGCCGCCTGGCACCCACGTCTACGTGCAGGGTCCTTCTTGGGCCACACAGTGACCCCCGAGGAGCGGAGGGAAAAGCGCGGCCGGGTGCCCAGTCCAGGAGGGAGACACGGGAGGAGGAGGGAAGGGGCGCAACGGCCGGGGCCCTACCTTCCTCCCCCCCCCACCCGCCTCCCGGGCCCGCTCCTCCCCTGCTCCCAGGGCTCCTCCCCGCCCCTCCTCCCCGCCCCCTCCTCCCCTGCTCCGCGCGCTCCTCCCCGTCCCCTCCTCCCCTGCTCCGCGCGCTCCTCCCCGTCCCCTCCTCCCCTGCTCCGCGCGCTCCTCCCCGCCCCTCCTCCCCATCCCCTCCTCCCCTGCTCCGCGCGCTCCTCCCCGCCCCTCCTCCCCGTCCCCTCCTCCCCTGCTCCGCGCGCTCCTCCCCGCCCCCTCCTCCCCTGCTCCGCGCGCTCCTCCCCGCCCCCTCCTCCCCTGCTCCGCGCGCTCCTCCCCGTCCCCTCCTCCCCTGCTCCGCGCGCTCCTCCCCGCCCCTCCTCCCCGTCCCCTCCTCCCCTGCTCCGCGCGCTCCTCCCCGCCCCTCCTCCCCTGCTCCGCGCGCTCCTCCCCGCCCCTCCTCCCCTGCTCCGCGCGCTCCTCCCCCGCCCCCTCCTCCCCTGCTCCGCGCGCTCCTCCCCGTCCCCTCCTCCCCTGCTCCGCGCGCTCCTCCCCGCCCCTCCTCCCCGTCCCCTCCTCCCCTGCTCCGCGCGCTCCTCCCCGCCCCTCCTCCCCTGCTCCGCGCGCTCCTCCCCGCCCCCTCCTCCCCTGCTCCGCGCGCTCCTCCCCGTCCCCTCCTCCCCTGCTCCGCGCGCTCCTCCCCGCCCCTCCTCCCCGTCCCCTCCTCCCCTGCTCCGCGCGCTCCTCCCCGCCCCTCCTCCCCGTCCCCTCCTCCCCTGCTCCGCGCGCTCCTCCCCGCCCCCTCCTCCCCTGCTCCGCGCGCTCCTCCCCGTCCCCTCCTCCGCGCGCTCCTCCCCGCCCCCTCCTCCCCTGCTCCGCGCGCTCCTCCCCGTCCCCTCCTCCGCGCGCTCCTCCCCGCCCCCTCCTCCCCAGTTCCGCGTGCTCCTCCCCGTCCCTCCTCCCCGCCCCCTCCTCCCCTGCTCCGCGCGCTCCTCCCCGTCCCCTCCTCCCCTGCTCCGCCCCCTCCTCCCCGCCCCTCCTCCCCGTCCCCTCCTCCCCTGCTCCGCGCGCTCCTCCCCGTCCCCTCCTCCCCTGCTCCCGCCCCCTCCTCCCCGCCCCTCCTCCCCTGCTCCGCGCGCTCCTCCCCGCCCCTCCTCCCCTGCTCCGCGCGCTCCTCCCCGTCCCCTCCTCCCCTGCTCCGCCCCCTCCTCCCCGCCCCTCCTCCCCGTCCCTCCTCCCCGTCCCCTCCTCCCCTGCTCCGCGCGCTCCTCCCCGTCCCCTCCTCCCCTGCTCCGCGCGCTCCTCCCGTCCCCTCCTCCCCTGCTCCGCGCGCTCCTCCCCGTCCCCTCCTCCCCTGCTCCGCCCCCTCCTCCCCGCCCCTCCTCCCCGTCCCTCCTCCCCGTCCCCTCCTCCCCTGCTCCGCGCGCTCCTCCCCGTCCCCTCCTCCCCTGCTCCGCCCCCTCCTCCCCGCCCCTCCTCCCCGTCCCTCCTCCCCGTCCCCTCCTCCCCTGCTCCGCGCGCTCCTCCCCGTCCCCTCCTCCCCTGCTCCGCCCCCTCCTCCCCGCCCCTCCTCCCCGTCCCCTCCTCCCCTGCTCCGCGCGCTCCTCCCCGTCCCCTCCTCCCCTGCTCCGCCCCCTCCTCCCCGCCCCTCCTCCCCGTCCCCTCCTCCCCTGCTCCGCGCGCTCCTCCCCGCCCCTCCTCCCCTGCTCCGCGCGCTCCTCCCCGCCCCCTCCTCCCCTGCTCCGCCCCCTCCTCCCCGCCCCTCCTCCCCGTCCCTCCTCCCCGTCCCCTCCTCCCCTGCTCCGCGCGCTCCTCCCCGTCCCCTCCTCCCCTGCTCCGCCCCCTCCTCCCCGCCCCTCCTCCCCTGCTCCCCGCGCTCCTCCCCGCCCCTCCTCCCCTGCTCCGCGCGCTCCTCCCCGTCCCCTCCTCCCCTGCTCCGCCCCCTCCTCCCCGCCCCTCCTCCCCGTCCCTCCTCCCCGTCCCCTCCTCCCCTGCTCCGCGCGCTCCTCCCCGTCCCCTCCTCCCCTGCTCCGCGCGCTCCTCCCCGTCCCCTCCTCCCCTGCTCCGCCCCCTCCTCCCCGCCCCTCCTCCCCGTCCCCTCCTCCCCTGCTCCGCGCGCTCCTCCCCGCCCCCTCCTCCCCTGCTCCGCCCCCTCCTCCCCGCCCCTCCTCCCCGTCCCCTCCTCCCCTGCTCCGCCCCCTCCTCCCCGCCCCTCCTCCCCTGCTCCCCGCGCTCCTCCCCGCCCCTCCTCCCCTGCTCCGCGCGCTCCTCCCCGTCCCCTCCTCCCCTGCTCCGCCCCCTCCTCCCCGCCCCTCCTCCCCGTCCCTCCTCCCCGTCCCCTCCTCCCCTGCTCCGCGCGCTCCTCCCCGTCCCCTCCTCCCCTGCTCCGCGCGCTCCTCCCCGTCCCCTCCTCCCCTGCTCCGCGCGCTCCTCCCCGTCCCCTCCTCCCCTGCTCCGCCCCCTCCTCCCCGCCCCTCCTCCCCGTCCCCTCCTCCCCTGCTCCGCGCGCTCCTCCCCGCCCCTCCTCCCCTGCTCCGCGCGCTCCTCCCCGCCCCCTCCTCCCCTGCTCCGCCCCCTCCTCCCCGCCCCTCCTCCCCGTCCCCTCCTCCCCTGCTCCGCGCGCTCCTCCCCGTCCCCTCCTCCCCTGCTCCGCCCCCTCCTCCCCGTCCCTCCTTCCCGTCCCCTCCTCCCCTGCTCCGCGCGCTCCTCCCCGTCCCCTCCTCCCCTGCTCCGCGCGCTCCTCCCCGCCCCCTCCTCCCCTGCTCCGCCCCCTCCTCCCGCCCCTCCTCCCCGTCCCCCTCCTCCCCTGCTCCGCCCCCTCCTCCCCGCCCCTCCTCCCCTGCTCCCCGCGCTCCTCCCCGCCCCTCCTCCCCTGCTCCGCGCGCTCCTCCCCGTCCCCTCCTCCCCTGCTCCGCCCCCTCCTCCCCGCCCCTCCTCCCCGCCCCTCCTCCCCGTCCCCTCCTCCCCTGCTCCGCGCGCTCCTCCCCGCCCCTCCTCCCCTGCTCCGCGCGCTCCTCCCCGCCCCCTCCTCCCCTGCTCCGCCCCCTCCTCCCCGCCCCTCCTCCCCGTCCCCTCCTCCCCTGCTCCGCGCGCTCCTCCCCGTCCCCTCCTCCCCTGCTCCGCCCCCTCCTCCCCGTCCCTCCTTCCCGTCCCCTCCTCCCCTGCTCCGCGCGCTCCTCCCCGTCCCCTCCTCCCCAGTTCCGCGTGCTCCTCCCCGTCCCTCCTCCCCGTCCCCTCCTCCCCTGCTCCGCGCGCTCCTCCCCGCCCCTCCTCCCCTGCTCCGCGCGCTCCTCCCCGCCCCTCCTCCCCTGCTCCGCGCGCTCCTCCCCGCCCCCTCCTCCCCGCCCCCTCCTCCCCGCCCCCTCCTCCCCTGCTCCGCGCGCTCCTCCCCGCCCCTCCTCCCCTGCTCCGCGCGCTCCTCCCCGTCCCCTCCTCCCCAGTTCCGCGTGCTCCTCCCCGCCCCTCCTCCCCTGCTCCGCGCGCTCCTCCCCGCCCCTCCTCCCCGCCCCTCCTCCCCTGCTCCGCGCGCTCCTCCCCGCCCCCTCCTCCCCGCCCCCTCCTCCCCTGCTCCGCGCGCTCCTCCCCGCCCCTCCTCCCCTGCTCCGCGCGCTCCTCCCCGTCCCCTCCTCCCCAGTTCCGCGCGCTCCTCCCCGCCCCTCCTCCCCTGCTCCGCGCGCTCCTCCCCGTCCCCTCCTCCCCAGTTCCGCGCGCTCCTCCCCGCCCCTCCTCCCCTGCTCCGCGCGCTCCTCCCCGTCCCCTCCTCCCCAGTTCCGCGCGCTCCTCCCCGCCCCTCCTCCCCTGCTCCGCGCGCTCCTCCCCGTCCCCTCCTCCCCAGTTCCGCGTGCTCCTCCCCGCCCCCTCCTCCCCTGCTCCGCGCGCTCCTCCCCGCCCCCTCCTCCCCTGCTCCGCGCGCTCCTCCCCGCCCCCTCCTCCCCTGCTCCGCCCCCTCCTCCCCGCCCCCTCCTCCCCTGCTCCGCCCCCTCCTCCCCGCCCCCTCCTCCCCTGCTCCGCGCGCTCCTCCCCGTCCCCTCCTCCCCAGTTCCGCGCGCTCCTCCCCGCCCCCTCCTTCCCTGCTCCGCCCCCTCCTCCCCGCCCCCTCCTCCCCTGCTCCGCGCGCTCCTCCCCGTCCCCTCCTCCCCAGTTCCGCGCGCTCCTCCCCGCCCCCTCCTCCCCTGCTCCGCGCGCTCCTCCCCGCCCCCTCCTCCCCTGCTCCGCGCGCTCCTCCCCGTCCCCTCCTCCCCAGTTCCGCGCGCTCCTCCCCGCCCCCTCCTCCCCTGCTCCGCGCGCTCCTCCCCGCCCCCTCCTCCCCTGCTCCGCGCGCTCCTCCCCGTCCCCTCCTCCCCAGTTCCGCGTGCTCCTCCCCGCCCCCTCCTCCCCGCCCCCTCCTCCCCGCCCCCTCCTCCCCGCCCCTCCTCCCCTGCTCCGCGCGCTCCTCCCCGCCCCTCCTCCCCTGCTCCGCGCGCTCTTCCCCGCCCCCTCCTCCCCGCCCCCTCCTCCCCTGCTCCGCGCGCTCCTCCCCGCCCCTCCTCCCCGCCCCTCCTCCCCTGCTCCGCGCGCTCCTCCCCGCCCCTCCTCCCCGCGCTCCTCTCCGGGCGGGCGGCCCAGAAGGTGGCCTTCCCCCCACCCCAAGAAGAGGTGACGCGCCCACGTGGCCAGACAAGAGGTCGCCAGCGCGGGCTCGCTCTCAGTGCACACGCGCGATCCAAGGTCGCCTTTTTTCTAACCCTTGAGACAAGCAGGCCAGGAACTGCCTAAGGGACAGGGCGGCCTCCCATTGGCTGTTGTCGCTGGGTCTTCGGTTCCTATTGGCTGTAGGATGCGCGCACGAGCCGAGCACGTTTCCCCGCGTCCCTCAGCGTTGGGCCGCGGACGGCGTCGCAGCCAATGGGAGGCCCAGGGGCGGGGCCAGCGGCGCGGGGCGTCCGAGCGCCGGCGAGGAGGTAAACAGGCCGCGAGCTCGTGCGGCCCGGGCTGAGGTGAGCGCGCGGCTGGCGGCGCGCGCGGAGGCGACCCGGACTCCCCGCTTCTGCGGCGGGGTAAGGCTGCCCGCGGGGCCGCGGGGTCTTGCGGGGTGCCCGGCGTCCCCGCGGGCGTCCCTCCCCTCCAGGCGTGCTGCGGCTCCGGGCCGCGCCGGTGGCGGGGACCCGCCGCTGCTTCGTTCCTCTTCCTTGGCCCCGCGCGGCCCGTCCCTCGTGGGCGCCCGGGCCCGGCCGTCCCTGCGCCCCCGCAGGGCCGCGGCCGGGGCTCCGGGGGCCGCCCCGGGCGGAGAGCGCTGCCCCGAGGCGAGGCCGCCGGGCACGGCCCCCGAGGCGAGGCCGCCCAGGCGGAAAGCGCTGCCCCGAGGCGAGGCCGCCGGGCACGGCCCCCGAGGCGAGGCCGCCCAGGCGGAAAGCGCTGCCCCGAGGCGAGGCCGCCGGGCACGGCCCCCGAGGCGAGGCCGCCCGGCGAGGACAGCGCTGCCCCGAGGCGAGGCCGCCGGGCACGGCCCCCGAGGCGAGGCCGCCCCGGCGGAGAGCGCTGCCCCGAGGCGAGGCCGCCGGGCACGGCCCCGAGGCGAGGCCGCCCAGGTGGAGAGCGCTGCCCCGAGGCGAGGCCGCCGGGCACGGCCCCCGAGGCGAGGCCGCCGGGCACGGCCCCCGAGGCGAGGCCGCCCGGGGAGGACAGCGCTGCCCCGAGGCGAGGCCGCCGGGCACGGCCCCCGAGGCGAGGCCGCCCGGGCGGAGAGCGCTGCCCCGAGGCGAGGCCGCCCGGGCGGAGAGCGCTGCCCCGAGGCGAGGCCGCCCGGGCGGAGAGCGCTGCCCCGAGGCGAGGCCGCCCGGGGAGGACAGCGCTGCCCCGAGGCGAGGCCGCCGGCACGGCCCCCGAGGCGAGGCCGCCGGGCACGGCCCGGGGAGGCTCGCGGAGCTGCCGGCGCCGCGGGCGCGGGAAGCTCAGGAGGGCCGTGCAGACGCACGCCCGCCCGCCCGCCGCGGCCACCGGCGCGGCTCCCGGGACGCAGCCCGCCGGGCAGCCGGGCGCCCGCGAGCCCGCGCCTGGCCTGGAAGACGCAGGCCCGTGGGTGCGGGGCAGCGACCCAGCCCGGCACCCGCAGCCCCGCGCCGCAGCACCGACACGCGTGATGGGTAGTTCTCTTTTGGGGGTGGGGGCAGCCGAGACTCTTGAACTCAGGCCCCGGGCGCCGTCCCTGAGCTTTTCTCCTCCAGGCCAGCGCACTACCACTTTGGGCCACAGCCCCACTTCTGGTTTTCAGTGGTTAATTGGAGGTAAGAGTCTCATGGACTTTCCTGCCCGGCCTGGCTTTGAACCATGATCCTCAGATCTCAGCCTTTTGAGTAGCTAGGATTACAGTCATGGGCTACCAGTGTCCAGCTTATAGAGTTCTTTTGTACTTGGTAAAAGCATCCATATAAGAGCCTCCTATTTCCTTGTGCAAAGAAACATGATTTACTTGAGTCTATGTTTTTCCTTTAGCGAGGTCCAGAATTTATTTATTTTTTATTTTTTTATTTTTTTTGGGGTCTGGTCGTGGGGCCTGAACTCTGGGCCTGGGCGCTGTCCCTCAGCTCTTCAGCTCAAGGCTAGCGCTCTACCACTTGAGCCACACAGCACCACTTCCGGCTTTTTTCTTATGTGGTGCTGAGGAATCGAACCCAGGGCCTCGAGCATGCAAGGCAAGCGCTCTACCACTGAGCCACCTTCCCAGCCCGAGGTCCAGAATTTAATCCCAAGGTTATGGGCATGCAGAGCAGCTGGGTGAGTAGAGCCAGTGATTGTAGGGGGATTACTGGGGAGAAGAGGAGTGTGCATAGATAGAAAGGTCATAGTGAAAAATCCATTTAAAAAAATCATAGGAGGCCAGCACCAGTGGCTCACACTTGTAATCCTAATTACTCAGGCCGAGACCCAAGGACCACAGTTTGAAGCCAGCCAGGCAGGAAAGTCCATAAAACTTTTTTTTTTTTTTTTTGTCCATCGTGGGGCTTGAACTCTGGGCCTGGACGCTGTCCCTCAGCTCTTCAGCTCAAGGCGAGCACTCTACCACTTGAGCTACAGTGCCACTTCCAGTTTTCTGGTGGTTTCCTGGAGATAAGAGTTTCACAGACTTTCCTGCCCGGGCTGGCTCTGAACTGTGATCCTCAGATCTCAGTCTCCTGAGTAGCTAGGATTACAGGTGTGAGCCACCGGCGCCTGGCTTCCATAAAACTCTTATTTCCAAAAGGCCAAAAGTAGAGCTGTGGCTTGAGTGGTAGAATGCTAGCCTTGAGCAACAAAGCTCAGAGAGAGCTCCCAGGCCCTGACTTTAAGCCTCAGGACTGGCACCAAAAACAAAAAATTGCTGGAGAAGCAGGTACTGGGAACTCATGCCTGTAATCTCAGCTGCTACTTTGGAGGCAAAGATAGGATCATGGTTTGAAGCTAGCCTAGGAAAAAAAGTTCATGAGACCCATCTCAACCAGTAGCTGGGTATAGTGGGGCACATTTGTCACCCCAGCTGTATGCTAGCATAAAGAGGAAGATTTCGGTCTAGGCCACTTGAGTAAAGAATGAGACTGGGCTGGGTGTGGGCCCCGCGCTCCCTAGCAGTGCAGAGCCCGAGTTCACGCACCAGTTCCCAGCCCTGCAGAAAGCTGCCAGAACATTACAAAAAAGGGAGCAAGATGTAAGAAAATAGTAGAGGGGTGAATACAGTCAAAGCATGTTATCTGCCTGCATGGAAATATTGCAAAGAAATGTTCCACATTGTATAATTAATATATGCTGGTAGAATAACTTAAAAATGGAGCAGTGATTGTAGCCCAAGGCCAGAAAAAAACATCCCGAGTCCTTGTTAGAATTTCTGTTTCTTTGGGGATGTATCAGGATTTCTTCTTGGTCAGAGGTCCTTGGGGACCGACCCTTTATGCCTATGGAAAAAGACCAGGAAGGACAGCACTTCTGCTTTCTCAAAGAGAAGTTTGGAGGAGTGTGATTGGGAAGCCAAAACTCGGCAGGATAATTTTCCACTAAGAGGCATGAACACTGAGTCATTATCTTTGTTGCTTGAAACAAGAGCTGTGTGCAAAATTAGACAGGAATATTTAGAGTGTTGTCTTGATTTGACAACTGGAAATAGTACTGGCATTCCTGCTGAACAACAGGAGGGGCCTGGGAGGAATGAGGAGCTCTGGGATCTCCCTGTGGGAGAAGTAAGGGTCTGAGGCCAAGGAGGTGGGGGAGGCTGCGTGTGGGGAGCCTGCAGGACTTAGAGCACAGTCAAGAGCGTACATGCAGGTCGAATTCCTAGACCTGTTGGATTTAGGACTGCGGTTTCTAGCTAGAGGTAGGCGCGGGATGAGGCGCGGAGTCACTCCTGAGGAGAGCAGGTGCAGAGCTGGTGTGGGGAGCGAGGCGGGCAGAGGGCCTGTGGGAGTGTTTCTGCCCTTTTCCCTGCGCAGCTCTGCAGTTGAGAGCGGGTGTGGTCACGACTGCTCCCTGCAGTCAGGGTGAAGACCAGAGCTCCGCATGTTGCTGCGGAGACTTTAATGGGTACGCTAGGGTTGCTTTCGCATGAGAGTCTGCTGGACCTGCGATGGGGAGGCTCCTCCGGGGCCTGTGGAGAGGCAGAAGCAGGCAGAGGCTGCCCCGGCTGGGGATAGCACAGAGGGCCCTTCCCCATGGAACAGGTGGAGGAGGGAGGCTGAGGCCAGAGGAGAGAGGAAGGGGGGTTGTAGGGCAGAGTGGGCTGGCAAAAATGCAGAGGGGGGGGTGAAAGGAGGAAGGGGAGAACAAGGCCCCGACATGGGGTGGGGGTCAGGAGTTGGAGGGGACGCAGTGCTTCTACTTGGAGAAACAAACTCCCTCTGTCGGCTACACGGAGAAGCACTCTGTGCAGCACGTGGGAATGAGGGCGCTCTCACCAAGGACCGCTCCTGTCCTGCTCCAGCCAGCCCCAGAGGACTGGCAGTCTGACAGGGGCAGGGGTATGTGGGCACGCATACGTGTGCATAGCACGCATACGTGTGCAGGAGGACAGTTGCTGGAAATCTCCTGAGGTGCTTTCTGAACGAGTTCTTGCGCTTCCCATCCTGCCTGGGTGTCTGTGCCCAGACTCTGCTGTGGTAGAATACATAGAAAGGCACCTACCAAACTCTTTGAATCTTTCCAGATCCTGCCAAATTCCAGTTTTCCTCAATAGTTCTGTGTGCTCTGGTGACTAGACCTGTCTGGTTGCTAGGGATAGAGTAGAGGTCATCTGGGTCAGCTGTCAGGGGTCATGCTGGAGAAAGTGGGCCATAAGGCCCAAGGAGGGACAGTTCTGCTCCAGGCCATGCAGGGTTAGTGGCTGAGCTGGGTCTGAGACCTGGTGGTCCTTAAGACCTCGTATGTGCTGCTCAGGAGTTAGAGGGCCTAGTGGCCTGGGCCCTGCTGGGCCAGTAAGGGGTCCTGGGGACTGTCCTGCACTGGCCAGGGCCCGGGTCATCTCCCCACTTGAGTGTCTGCAGGCAGGTTCTCTGCACTGGGCCTGGCTTGGAGGAGAACGGAAGATTGGACACCGGCAGCCACAGGAGGCTGTGACCCTGCAGGTGTTCAGCAAACACCCCACACCTTCCTGAGATAAGGAACAACTTGAGAGTCAGACAGGGCAGCTTGAGGAGCCGGTCTGTGTGCATCGTGAGCTGGTGCGTCCCACTGGCCGGACCCCCTTTATAAGTGGGGCGCTGCCGCCATGCCTGCGCTGCACACGCTCAGCTCAGGGGCTGTGCACAGATGGCTGGGCTCAGGATCCCGCTGTTAGGAGTGCTGGCGGGAGTTTGGGTCCTCGTGTTGTCAGGTGACCCAGGCTGGACACCTCTGTCTTGAGCCGCTCTACGGATGGTGCCTGAGCCACCACAGTAATGAGTGAGCCACCACAGTAACGAGTGAGCCCCCACAGTAACGAGTGAGCCCCCACAGTAACGAGTGAGCCACCACAGTAACGAGTGAGCCCCCAGCGCAGACCAGTCTGGTGCCCCTCCGCCTGTCCCTCCTCAGGGTAGAGCCAGGATGCCAGGCAAGGCACAGCAGACTGGCCTCCCCCGTTCCCTTTGGCTTACCACACCCATACCTTGTTCAGAGTAGCTGTGGCTAACTGTATTCATTATGTGGTTGTTTTATTAATCCCACTACTTCCTATTGGTGTTCAGCACGCACCGTGAGCCCTAAATACTGCTTGCGGTTGGCTAGCACACTCCTCAGGAGCTGGTGAGGAAGCCAAGGTCACACGGGCAAGTCTGGGCAGAGTCGGGGAACACAGCCAAGTCTCCAGCTTCTGGAGGTCTTGGCTCATCACTGCGTCATCTCCCAAACCAGAAGATGTGAGTGGATTGCTTGATTGCTTGAACATGGAGCTGCTTCAGTCCTGTCTCTTGTGTTAGGTCTACTCGGCAGGGAGGCCCTGGGATGTTCCGGCCGGCTTGCCTGCGCAGGTGGTGGACAACCCTGCATTGTCATCCGAGGCTGCTGCTTCCTCTGCCTCCCCCCTCCCCCTCCCCCTCCCCCTCCCCCTCCCCTCCCCTCAGCCCCAGCGGGCTACCCCACAGAGCAGGCTCCCAGTGAGTCCTGAGACTATCCTCACCTGCTGTTGGGGAATGGTGGCTGCAGCCTTGGCTGTTGGAACCCTTCCCTTTGCTTGGTACTGTTATGCAGGTTGCCTTGCTCCTGAGCTGTGATGGATTCAGCTTCTTGGGTTTTTTTTGGTTGGTTGTGGGGCTTGAACTCACAGCCTGAATGCTGTCCCTGAGCTTTTTTGCTGTTACTTTGAGCCACAGCGCCACTTCTGGTTTTCTGGTAGTTCATTGGAGAGAAGAGTCTCACAGACTTTCCTGCCTAGGCTGCTTCAAACCACCATCCTCAGATCTCGGTTTCCTGAGAGCCACCGGTACCCAGCTCAGCTTCTTGAAAGCTGTGACTTTGGGTAAATCCTTTTCTTTTAGTTTCTTCTTTTCTTTAATGGTTCTGGGGCTTGAACTCAGGGCCTTGCCCCGGCTCACAGCTTGGTTGCTCCACTGGCACTATATCACTTGAACCACAGCTCCAGCCTGGCTTTATGCTGTTTATTTTGGAGATGGAGTTTTGCAGCACTTTTCTGCCTGGGCTGGCCTTGCCTGTGATCTGGATCTCAGCATTCTGAGTAGCTCGGATTGTACGTAGTAGTAACTGGTGCTTGTCAGCTTTGGGCAAATCCTTAGCCTCTGTATGCCTCTTGCCCTCAGCAGCAAAGTGAGCGTGAGCGAGATGCTGTGTGGATCCTACAGAGCACAAAGCATGCGTCTGCCGTGCCATCGTGTGCTGGTTCTAATTCTTACCAATACAAACACTTGGAGGACTGGCGAGAGTCACTGGGCGGGGTGGGCACCGCTGCGCTACTGCTCAGAACGTTCTAGTCTGTGTTAGAAGAAGTGTGTGATGGGCAAACTGTTCCAAGAGAAAGCCGGAACCAGTTTCAAGAGAGCAGGAGCTCCTTGGCCCGAAGGCAGCTTGAAGCCCCGAGACTCCTTTGCTTGCCAGGCAGGCCTTGGGGCCCTCCAAGGGCTGTGGGCTCGTGGTGGGCTTCTCTGCCAGCCTTGAATAGAGTGGGTGAGCCCCCCTGAGGGCTCCCCACTCCTTCACCAGGAGCCCTCAGACCACTTTTCTGCCAGCTATGCACAGGAGAGGGTGGCACCCGGGCCATGATAGAGTCGTGGATGGGAGGCCCGGGGATTGTTCAAGGCACGGGCTCTGGCTGGGGAGCTGGGCCACCATGCAGTTGGGATGGTGGCCCTGACGTTGGGGGCACTGTAGGTAGGATGGGATTTCAGCGTGTCCGGTAAACCTGCTCATACGCCATGGGCCGTTGCCGGTGCCGGGAGCTCTGCCCTCCACTAAGAGTCCCTTGCCACCCAGTGCCCGAGCGGACACTTGAGATGCCCTCAGGCCTGTTGCATTGCTGGTTTTATTTTTAACAACAACACACTTTCTGTTGACGGGGCTTACTGTAGGTAAGGTTGGCACCTTGTGGCGTTTCAGTTCTGGACTCTGGATTTGAAAGTCTTGTGCCCACAGTAATGTCCACACCACTGAGGAGGGCTGAAGGTCAACAGGAATACACCGGGAATGTGGAGACTTGACTTTGGCCTCTGGGCTGCCCTGGCTGCTTTCTCAATCTAGCCCTGGGGTGAGGAACTTCTTTTTTCTCTAAGCAATGTCTTTATTTACTTTTTTAGCCCGGCAGACAAATCTGAGGAATTCTCATCTCCAGTTCACCAGCACAATGCCTGAGTTGGACGTGTTGCTCTAGTTAGAGCACCAGCCCTGATTTTTGAGCAAGCTGAGCAAGAGCATGCGGCCCTGAACTGAAGCAGGGCTGGTCCTAGCACACAGTAAAGATTTGCTGGGGGGGAGGGGCGGGTCTTTTAACATTAGTCATTTAAGATTATGATGAAGACACCCCCGATATAGCTCCGTGTCTCCTTCGCGATGTGTAGAAATCTCAAGAATGAGGAGATTTGCAGAAATAACTCAAAATGGTCGAGTTGCATATCACCTTGGGACTGTGGTGAGTTAGAAGTAAAGCTTTTGAGACTCCCCCCCCCCCCCCCCCCCCTTGGTTCTAGGATTGGAACGGCCTTCAGCTTCAGCTTGCTTGTTGGCTAGTTCTTGAGTCACTTGAGTCACTCTAGCCTGAGTTTTTCTGGTTACTTTGGCAATGAACTTTTTGGGCTTTTCTGCCCAGGCTGGCTTTGAATGAAGATCTTCTAGATCTCATCCTCCTAAATAATTAGGATTACAGGCTTGAGCAACTGGCTAAGGTTTGTTTTTTACAAACCAGGAGGTGAGAAAAGTTATGGAAAGTTGCTTCCTCCTTTCTGGCAGCCTTGCCTTGCCTTCTCCCCCTACTGCTGAGGACGGACAGACACTCCCGCCCAGAACCTACAGCCTGCATTGATACGCTGTGAAGGGTTGGTTCACTGTGTACTGAGACAGACAGATGCACAGACACATGCTCTGCACAGCCCCTTCTTGCTAGGTAAACAGCATTTAGCCAAGTGTGGGTGTGGGCTTTGTGCAGTAGTTTGGGAGTCCGTTTGTCATTCTGCACACAAATAGCAGATTATGTTTATCAGCAGCTTCTATCCTCTGACAGTGTTTAGACACGTTCTTCCACTCAGCTGTGCTTGGCTGGTGCCCGGGTGAGCCTTGGCCCCAGGCTCCTTGGGCTCCTCAGGCACAGTGGCTGCTGCTTTGCTTAGACGGGGAAGGAAACGAAACTGCCTAACACTGTGTCTTTCATTAGATAGCTCATCTGCCACTTTGTTTTTTTTTTTTTGGTTCCGGTCGTGGGGCTTGAACTCTGGGCCTGGGCACTGTCCCTCAGCTCTTCAGCTCAAGGCAAGCGCTCTACCACCGAGCCACCTTCCCAGCCCCTCATCTGCCACTTTGAACGTAGGTTATGTGAGCTAAGACTGTTGGAAAATACGGAAAGATAGGATCTTGACAGTTTCCAAACACAGGACGTTAGCATTCTTTTGTCTATCGTTGTCACATTTTCCCTCTGGGGAAACACTGCTGTGTCTTTGTGACGAGACACCACAGCCTTCCATGGCCCTGTGCTGGGTCCTGGTCCCAGGCTGTCTCACTATGCTGCACAGGATCTGAAATGGATTTTATTTATTTATTTAGCCAGTCCTGGGTCTTGAACACAGGGCCTGGGCTCTGCCCCTAAGCCTCTCTGTGCTCAAGGCTAGTGTTCTACTACTTGAGTGCCACTTCTGGCTTTTTCCATGTATGTGGTACTGAGGAATCGAACTCAGGGCTTCATGCATGTGAGGCGAGCACTTTACCACTAAGCCACCTTCCGAGTCCCTGAAATGTATTTTAAAATTGAACTGGCCATGCCAGGGGCCAGGTGGGCCAGACTAGCCAAAAGCCACTCCCTGCTTTAGTGTGTGGCTGGTAATTTAGATAAGAAACTCAAGAATGAGTTTTAAGCCTGGAAACAAAGTCTGATTGCATAAGTCCCAGGCATATGTTCTGTGGAAGATTTGACTTCAGATAGAGGGTGTGGTGAGGGTTTGGAATTTCAGGGCTTGTGTGGCCCGTGGGAGCCTCCTACCTGATGATTGGCTAGCCTGGCTTCCAGGGGAGCGGGAGCAGGAACTGTCCTGGGGCCACTGGCAGGAGAGCCCAGCTCCACCGTCTCCATCTCTTTCTGTTGCCCCTTTCCCTCTCACCCCAGGCAGGTCTAGAGGGTCCTGGAGGCCCTCTACCCTAGACTTGGGTGGCGAGTGTGTGACAGGGGCAGGATGCTGCTGGAGCCTGCAAGCGGCAGGCTGGCCCAGGCCCCTGATCTCGGATGGTGGGCTCTCTTCAGTTCTAGGCTTGCTCTGTGGTACTCAGCCTTGTTCATGGCCATACATTACAGAAGCTCAAAGCAGAGGCCGGGGAGTGACATGAGATCCCTTCCCATCTCTTCTAAGGGGATGCATGCCTTCTCCAAACTTCTCCAGCTTACATTAGAAGGCAGTGCCTGTCCTTGTGGGTTAGCCTGGTGAATTAGAAGATAGGATTATGATGTGGCAGAGCTTGCCAGGGCTGGAGTGGATCCCAGGTTGCTGTGAGGAGCAGCATGTGTTGGTGGGGTCCTTCACCTCTCCACTGTAAGCTGGGATCACTGTTGCTGAGCCGCGGGTTGCTAAGGGTTCTGACTGTAAGCTGGGGTCACAACTCACTGAGTCCTGGTTAAGGACCCTTGTCAGTATTCTCACACGCTTTTCCATCTGTCTCCTGTCAACTTTGCATCCAGGAGCCTCTCTTTGGCCATCCCTTCCCTGCTGCTGGCTACGCGTCCTGCTGTGCCCTGGCAGGGTCCCCTGCCTTTGGTGCCATCCTTACCCATCTCTGCTTGGCTTTTGTCTTGCTGCCCTCTGCAGGGCACTCTTGGAGGTGCTGGTAGTTTCCTGCTGTGTCCCTTCTTTGTGCCTGGTGTCTACAGGGTTTATCTTAGCCCCTGCACATGCTCAGGAGTAGTTAATGACCAGCCAGACTGCCCTGCCTGTACTGTGTACCGTGTCTCTGACCTTGGCCTATGTTGAGAAACACTGCATGCTGCACCAGGAGAGAGGTACATGGCCAGGGCCAGTGCAGGCCCAGTGGAGCTCCCTTTTCTGTCTGCATGGCCTTGATGTCTACTCATCCGTGCAGGCCACAGATCCAGGGCTGCCTGCCCGGTGGGGCTGGACTACAGTACAGAGGCACTGGCTTGGCAACTAGAGGAGGTTTGAGGTGGGCCAGCCCTGAGGTCAGGCACCATCTGGACGTGCATCCCGGCCTCGCAGGCAGAGCTGGAGTGGCTAGGAGGGGACAGGCACTCTGGCCCTTCAAGGGTCTGGGTGAGGTGTCAGCGTCCTGAGCGCGCGTGCGGTCTACGGGGACGGTTTTAGGCAGGGAGGCTTCTGCCCCGCTGGCAGCTGTGGTCCAGGGGAAAGAGCGCTGGCTCCGGGTCAGGTCACGTGATTCCTGGTTCTTCGAGTGGCTGTGGGGAAGGAGGGGTGAGCACCGGCAGCAGCGCCTCCTTAGCATTTTAGTTCTTCTCAGTGCCCTGGAGTCTGGAGACACCAGTCTGCCTTCCGTCCTGGGTCGGCCAGCCTTGATCGGCAGGCTGCCCAGGGCGTGGTGTGGAGCTGGCTGGTCAGAGTGTGACCCCTGATGTGGCTCTTTCTCTTCCAGCCCTGAAGCATGGCTGCCATGTTGGGAGATGCCATCATGGTGGCCAGAGGTCTGGCCAGGCTGACGCAGGCCTCTGTGGAGACTCACCTGCAGCACCTGGGTCTTGGTGGGGAGCTCATCACGGCCGCCAGGGCCCTGCAGTCCACCGCTGCAGCGCAGGTCAGCGCGGTCTTCGGGCGGGGGCAGGTAAGAAGGCACCTCGTGGCAGTGGGGGTTAGGGTGCTCCTGGAGAGAGGGCCGCGCTGGCTGCTCTCAGTGAGACCCGGAGCCCGAATCCAGACAGACTCTTTGGGTCTGGCCTTGTGGTCAGGGCCAGACAGCCCAGAGACTCATCTGTCCTGCTGTCCTTCTGGGGCAAGGTGGCGCCTCTGTGTGGGTGTCCTATGGTAGCAAGATTCCACTGACGGCGTAAACAAGGGCTTCTTTCTTGAGGTTTAGGACAAAGGTCTGGTGTCTCCGTGCAGCCGTCAAGATCTCCCCAGGCCTCTAGTCACTAGTGTCCCTAGCGCCTCCCAACGGGAGCAGCTGCCGGGCCGCGCAGCGGCTCCTCTCCCCCAGACAGACACCTCTAAGGACCGCGAGGACCCTTGCTCTGTCCTGGATGCCGCAGCCTGAGGCTCACGTCCGTTTCTCAGAAGAGGAGGTTGAGATCGAATAGTTGCTGAAAGATGGGGGATTTCTAAGCGTCAGGGTCAGAGTCCTTGTCTCAGCCACGGCCACACTCTCTGCTCCTGCCTTCTCTGTCCCCCCGGCTGTCCTGGCCCGTGCTTTCTGCAGTGAGGAGCCATGGCTTTCTGCTGATGTTGGGTCTGGGATCACGCCTGGCAGGACTGTCTGCTGGGGATCTGCCCCGGGCAGCCCCCTGTCCCCCAGACTCTGCAGGGCCCAGGTCCTCTCAGCGCGGTGTCCCTCAGGACAGGTGACCGTTCTGGGGCCCCTGCCCAGACTCCACTCCACAGCGTCCCTGCTCACCTGAGAGGTGCCCAGTGAGACCAATGCCAGTTATTTCTACGCCGAGAAGCCGGTGAGCTGAAGGTGGATGGCAGGCCGCCCTCAGCCCTGGACCTCGACTCGGGAACGCGGCTTGCCCTGTGCCAGCTGGTGTCCTCACCGGCCATTCCGGTTTGTGAGGCGAGAGTGGCAGCAGTCTGTCTGTCACCTCACCTTGTCAGGCCTGGTGTCCTGGGCGGGGGCCGGGTCCGTGCTGCCCTGCCCGCCATGGGCTCCTGTGTCCCACCAGGGAGTCAAGCCCCTGGCTTCCCTCCAGGACCCATGCTGCTTATTTATAGCCTCTTCTGGCAGTTGGCTTGACCTTGTCTGTGATCCCATGTGGCTCTGGGGCTGAGGGAGCCCTATTTCTAAATGGGGAAGTAGCAGCCAGGGTTAGGAGCTCACTCAAGGTCATCGGAAGTTTAAAAGTAGGAAGAACCTGGGGCCCGAGGTCAGGAGTGGGTGACTTACAAAGCAAACCTGGGCCCTGGGCCGAGTTCTGCCCACGTCCGCAGAGCTCAAGGGATGTCTCCTGGGCAGGAGCTGCATCCATGGCCGAGCCTGTCAGCAGCAAGGCCTGGCTTGGAGCAGGCCTGGTGGGCGGGCTGGCTGCGCACGCGCCTCCCCTCCCCCGGCTGCTTATGATTATTATTATTATTTAAACCTCCAGGCTTTCCTTCCCCAGATCCAGGAGTCCCTGCCTGGACATACTTTGGGGTACGGGGTGAGCTCCCACGGAAGGGTCTGCACTTGGCCTGGCCACGGACCTGCAGTCACAGGGGCTTGTGTGTGCAGCCGCCTGCCCAGAACCACGCAGGAGAGCCCGGCAGAGTGGGCTGGGCCCCATCCTGGCTCCTGGGAGGAGGCGGAGGAAGTGGGGACCGAGGGTGGCCCAGCAGGGGCGGCTGCTGCCCATCTCACGCCAGCCTTGCTCCGCAGGGGCAGCACGCGCGTGACGAGGCTTTCGCCCCAGAGGGCTTCGATGACCCGGAAGCAGAGCTGCCGTTCTCAGGGCCACAGGCAGCTGGAGCCGCCGCAGACGTCCCTGCAGCCGCTGCCCAGGACCAGGCACCGCAGCCACCCCTGGCTCATGCCCGGAGCCAGGGCCCGGCCCCTGCCTATGCTACTGATGGACCATTTTGGGCTGACCGGGCTGCCTCCCCCCAGAGCGGGGTCAGCGCGAGGATGTTCTCAGACCCCAGAGACTTTTCCCTCGCCACTGGTGTCCAGCGACGGTTCTTCCACCAGGACCAGTCTCCTGTGGGGGGCCTCACGGCCGAGGACATTGAGAAGGCCCGGCAGGCCAAGGCTCACCCTGGGAGCAAGCCACACAAGCAGGTGGTACGTCTGGAGGCCTCGTGGCATGGGCCGGGGGCGCCCACTCATGGGGCTGGCCCACTCAGTAATGTGTTCTGGGTGCTGTGGGCAGGGACTGTGTGTTTAGGAGCTGAGCCCTCTCGGGGTGTGGCGGGGGCTGGGTAGGAGCATCCTGCACATCTCTGCTTTTTCTTCCAGCTCAGTGAGCGGGCTCGGGAGCGGAAGGTGCCAGTTACACGGATTGGGCGGCTGGCCAACTTTGGAGGTGAGGTGGGCACTTGCCCACGTGCCCCTCCTGCCCTGCCCAAGTGTGGCCAGACCCTCCATGCCCCACATGCCCCTCCTGCCCCGCCCAAGTGTGGCCAGACCCTCCATGCCCCAGGCTGCTCCTCCTGCCCTGCCTAGACCCTCCGCATGGAGATGGAGGAGGACCGGCTGGGGGGTGCGTTGCTGGTGGCTGTCTTGGCATTAGCTGTTCTAGTGGTGGGATTCCAGCTCTTCTCCCTCCTCTCCCTTCCCCTCCCCATGAGAGCCCCTCCACCAGCTAGCCCCGTGGGGCAGCAGTACTGTACTCAGGAGCGTGGTGTGGGGCTGTGGTACTGTACTCGGGAGGGGGCGTGGTGTGGGGCTGTGGTACTGTACTCGGGGGTGAGTGTGGGGCAGTGGTACTGTACTGGGGAGTGTGGTGTGGGGCTGCTGTGGTTCACAGCAAGGCGGGGCTGCGCTCTGCTCTGGGCACTCAGGGCTTTCACAGCGCACAGGTTCACTGAGGCCCCGGGGCCCGTGTGTAGTCAGCGGCTGGACAGCTGCTGGCCGGAGGTTTGCTGGAGCTGGGTTCAAACACTGCACCTTGCTATTGCAGGCGCTGCCACTTGAGCTGTGCCCTGGACATAGTGACTTTCCTCCCATTGTAAGCCTACCACACGCTCCTCTGGGGGCCACAGAGCTCCTTTGCGGTGTCTCTGAGCTGGTCCTGGCCGGCATTTCCTTCGTGGCCAGCTGTCACCTCCAGCATAGTTCTGGTAGCTTGGTGGGACGCTGCCTTGGGCGTGGGCTCTTGGTAGGGCCGCAGGGAATGGGTGTGATGCCAGTGCCACTGAGCGCCTGAAGACTGTGCCCGCCCGCCTGCCTCCTGGCGGGAGTCTGTTGCCATTGCGTGTGCAGGGCTGCAGGGCAGGGCTGGTGCTGCCTTTTGAGAAGCCACCGTGTGCCCACCAGCCCGCCCGCCCTCGGGTGCGGCACCCACGAGGGTCATCTGAAAGGGAAGGGGCTGGTCCAGTCTTGAGTGCATCTTCTGGTTGGCTTCTGTCCACTGTTACGTCTTCTGCCTAGTAGTCCCATGCTGTTAGGGATTTGCCCGCTTGTACATTTGTGTTTTAAGTGTTGTAAAACTATACTATTGGCTGCCTACAGATTTAGCATCCTTCCATATTCCTGAGAATCGATCCTTTTATTCTGTTACATCTTTCTTTTTATTTATTTATTTATTTTTTTGGGGGTCCGGTCGTGGGGCCTGAACTCTGGGCCTGGGTGCTGTCTCAGCTCTTCAGCTCAAGGCTAGCGCTCTACCACTTGAGCCACAGCACCAGTTCTGGCTTTTTTTTTTTCTTTTTGCTTATGTGGTGCTGAGGAATCGAACCCAGGGCCTCATGCATGCAAGGCAAGCGCTCTACCACTGAGCCACCTTCCCAGCTCTGTTACATCTTTCTTTAACATATATGTCAGTGATACAGTTGTGTTCCAGCTTGGTTTTTGTGGTTAGCATGCTCTTTCTCTCTCCTTTATCATGTTTTATATTTAAGGTATATCTTTTGTAAGCAGAACATACACATTTTTGGTGTTTTGAGTAGACTGATAATCTTGGACTTATAATGTGAATATTTCATTAGAAATTGCTCCATTCAGGGATTTATATCTATTTTTATTCACCAGGTGACACATCTGTAATATTCTATTTTCTCCCTCTTCTGTCTGTTCTTCTAAATTAATCAAAGGCTTTTTTAAAAGTCATACATTTCCTCTGTCAGTGTTTGTGTTTTGTATTCCTCTGCCATTCTGCAGCTTCTGTGTAGAAAGGACTTGGAACATTGCTGCTTGAAATCAAAGGATACTGGTGTGAGCAGAGCTCGCTGGTGCCCAGAGGGGAGTCGAGGGGTAGAGCCCTGGGGCTGTGCTTCTGGGGCTCTGCTTTACTGGTGCTGGGACTGAACCTGTTGGGGGGGGGGTGCGTGCATGCCTGGGCATGTGTATGGGTCTGTGCTGGTCCTGGGAACTTGAACTCAGGTGCTGTCTCTGAGCTGTTTTGCTCAAGGCTAGTGCTCTACCACTTGAGCCACGGCTCCACTTCTGGCTTTTTGGTGGTTAATTGGAGAGTCTCATGGACTTTCCTGGCTGGGCTGGCTAGATCTCAGCCTCCTGAGTAGCTAAGGTTACCAGCATGAGCCTCGGCGTCTGACTGAATCCATTTTTTTGTTTAAGCTGCTCCTGTCAAGGTGATACTCAGAGGGGTTACAGTTAAGTAAGTCGAGTAAAGAGCACTTGCTTTTTAGACGGTGCCACCCTTCCCCTGCTCTCCCCATTCCCACTTTTAAAAGGCTTTGATGCTGCTCGGCTTCGCGTGTGCGGGGATAATACTGTGTGCTGCCCGGCCCAGCCCTGTTATTTTTAAAAGGAAAAAGGCTAAGGATTCTGCATTTCAGAAACACACAGAGCTGACGCTGTTGTTGCTTCCTGTCCTTGAGGCTGGAAGCCCTGGGGCTGAGCCAGTGCCCAGCCCCCCCCCCCCCTCCCTGGTTGATAATAAACATTGGGTGAAGGGGCAGAGGTTGGTTACTTTTTAGATCTTGCCAGGTAGGACGTTGACGCACTGCCGTCATTGCTATCCTTTTATTAATTTTTTTTTTTTTTGGGTCCGGTCGTGGGGCCTGAACGCTGGGCCTGGGCGCTGTCCCTCAGCTCTTCAGCTCAAGGCTAGTGCTCTACCACTTGAGCCACAGCGCCTCTTCCAGCTTTTTTCTTTTTGCTTATGTGGTGCTGAGGAATTGAACCCAGGGCCTCAGGCATGCAAGGCAAGCGCTCTACCACTGAGCCCCCTTCCCAGCCCCCTTTTATTTATTTTCTAAAAGGACATTTTAACAACACAGAAATACAAAGGACGTGGGCCCGAGATGATGGCCAATAGATAACTCCTGCCGGCTCAGTTCTAGCCCCTGGCTGAGAGCCCCACAGACCGCTGGCGGAGGGGCAGGGGCCGCAGAGGCTGGTGGGCGCAGAGCACCCCGGGCGGGGGCTCGGCCGTGCTCTGACCGGAGGCTTGCTAGCTTCTTGGCGCTGGCACAGAGTCGGTGCCCCTCTGTGTGCTTTGCCTTGAAGCTGCTAGGGCAGTTCATTGCCCGAGGGAGCGGGCCAGGGCTGTGGGGTCGCGGGGAGGGGTGGGGCGAGCCGCAGGCGCTTGCTCCGGCCCTTCTTGTGCCCCTGGCCCCAGTCTTGGTTCTGGAGCAGGGGCTGCTGGAGGCGGCTGGTGGTGGTAGAGACGAATTGGATTTCTGGGCATTGGGAAACGCATGGGAGCAGGAGGCCCGCCCCCGTGTCCCTGTTCCACCCACGCGTGCAAGGCCCAGTGGCCAGAGTGAGGTTCCCCGTGAGTGACACGCGTGCTCCCCCGTGAGTCTGTGACACACGTGCTCCCGTGAGTGTGACACGCGTGCTCCCCCGTGAGTGTGTGACACGCGTGCTCCCCCGTGAGTCTGTGACATGCGTGCTCCCCCGTGAGTGTGACACGCGTGCTCCCCCGTGAGTGTGTGACACGTGTGCTCCCCCGTGAGTGTGACACGTGTGCTCCCCCGTGAGTCTGACACGCGTGCTCCCCCGTGAGTCTGTGACACGCGTGCTCCCGTCTGACACGCGTGCTCCCCTGTGAGTCTGTGACATGCGTGCTCCCCCGTGAGTGTGTGACATACGTGCTCCCCCGTGTGTGACACGCGTGCTCCCGTGAGTCTGTGACACGCGTGCTCCCCCGTGAGTCTGTGACACGCGTGCTCCCCCGTGAGTCTGTGACACGCGTGCTCCCCCGTGAGTGTGTGACACGCGTGCTCCCCCGTGAGTCTCTGACACGCGTGCTCCCCCGTGAGTCTGACACGCGTGCTCCCGTGTGACACGCGTGCTCCCCCGTGAGTCTGACACGCGTGCTCCCCCGTGAGTCTGACACGCGTGCTCCCGTGTGACACGCGTGCTCCCCCGTGAGTGTGTGACACGCGTGCTCCCCCGTGAGTCTGTGACACACGTGCTCCCCCGTGACACGCGTGCTCCCCTGACACGTGTGCTCCCCTGTGACACGCGTGCTCCCCTGTGAGTGTGACACGCGTGCTCCCCCGTGAGTGTGACACGCGTGCTCCCCCGTGACACGCGTGCTCCCCCGTGAGTGTGACACGTGTGCTCCCCTGTGAGTCTGACACGCGTGCTCCTCTGTGACACGCGTGCTCCCGTGAGTCAGGGCATGGAAGAGCTGTGGTTGGGAGGGCTGGGAGTTCTGCTCTCTCCTCGCCTCTGGTGTCTGCTGCTTCAGAGGGGGGAGGACAGGAGGCAGGGCCCTGGCCCCCCCCACTGCAGAGCCTCCCCTGGCGAGGGAGGTGTGTGTTCTGGGCGTGGCCATGCTGGCTTTGGGCAGTTTCCTCCACGACTTCCCTGTGGGCTGTGGGAGCCAAGGCTGGCATGTGGATCAGAGCAGGAGAGGCCCCTTCATGAGAGCCTCGCAAGGACCGGGATCCAGCAGGCATCCTCCCGAGAGTCGCCTCCTTGTCCACCCAGTGTTGGATGAAGGCAGAGCCAGGCTGGGGGAGGGGGTCAGGATCACCTGTGGGCGGGGCTGTGGGGGGGAGTGGGAGGGGGGAGGGCTGTCCGCCCCTCCCTCCCTCAGAGGCCTCGTTCTGGCGCTTTGCCTGTCCTCAGGACGCGTGGGGCTCTTTGTGGAAAGTGCAGGTTTTGCTCTGAGCCGCGGCGGGGGGCCGTTACTGTTGCCTGTGCCACTTACTCTGCTAACTAAGGCAGGCAGGGTGCTGGGAGTTGACCTTTAGTAAGGGGTGCTGGCTCCGGCTGGGTGCGGGCGCCTGTGGGCTGTGTGTGGAGGGGAGGTGCCATGGCGGCGCCCCCACCCGCCCCAGCCCAGCACACTGTCCCTACGGGTCCCTGCCGTTGCCCAGGGCGGTGGATTCTGCCCCCACTGCCCCACACACTGAGCGTGGGAAACGGGGCACACTGCATAGGTGTGATTTTCACAGGATTTCCAGATTTAGTGTACGTGGAGAAAATGCAAAATCAGTACATTCTGTGAGTGCCTTACTGGGACTTGATCTCAGGACCTCACACTGGTTCAGTGTTGGGCTGGGGCTGGGGCTCTCACTCGAGCCACGGCTGCAGCTCTGCCGTTCTGCGATTTCATCGGCGAGAAGAGTCTCAGATGTCTGACTGCCCAGGCTGGCTTCAAACCATGATCCTTACATCTCACCTTCCAGAGGAGCACGAAGGCAGGTGTGAACCGCCAGCACCCAGCTTATCTGATCTTTAGTGTCTATTCTGATTGCTTGGTATTTTTTACGTGTGTTGGGTTAAATAGAACATTATTCGTCTTCATTTCACTTGTCACTTCATCTGCTTTCAGTATTGTGTGGCTCTCATTAGGTTTCTTCTGCTCCGCACTACATCATTTCAAGTACATTTGTAGCCAGTAATGTGTGCCCGGCTCTAGAGTGAATCTTCCTAACAGCGGGGAGGAGGGCCGCTGAGCAGCTGCTGAAGTGGAAGGCACTGACATCTAGTGGCCTGTGGGTGTACTGCAGGTTTTACAATCGCCTTTTGTTTTTAAAGTTGTTTTTCAGTGAGTCGTTTTTTTTCCGATGGAAGTACTGTTATCATTGTCAGAAAGTAAACATCCAGATGCACATTTTCTTTCCCTCACACGGCTCCACTGGGAGCTGGGCTCTGGGTAGCTCTGGGGGCTGCTGTTTGTTAATGAACAAGACCGGGAGGGGAACACGCGGGGGACACTGTGCTAGTGCTCCTGGAGGTCGCGTGGGTCTTGCCGGGAACTTCCGCCTCCCACTGGCTGCAGCGAGCTGTGTGGATCACAGGGCAGCTAGTGATCCGAGTGCCTGCGGGGGTGCTGCTGCTAGGGTGTGGGGCCTGCAGACACGCGGGGAGCCCCCGGTCCCTGCCCCGGGATCGCCCTGAGGCCTGCTTGGAGGGCCTTGAAGGTGACAGACACAGTGGGAAGCGCCCAGACCAGCATCCTCACCACGGCATGCACTTCCCCGCGCTGGTGACCAGGCCAGGCCTGGGGAGCTCAGAGCCCTTGATTTTGCAGGTCTGGCTGTGGGGCTGGGCTTCGGGGCCCTGGCTGAGGTTGCCAAGAAGAGTCTGCGCCCAGAGGCCTCTGCAGGTGAGCATGGGGTGCAGAGCCCCCAGCCCTGTGCTCCCCGGGGGCGGGGGGAGGAGGAGACTACCCCGGGAGACCCCAGACAGCAGAGTCCTGGAGCACTTGTCCAGGCACACACACCCTTCCCCCAGCTCCCCACACCTGTATTCACCCACAGTCCTGCACACTCACGCGTGCACCAGTTGCTCCTGCATGTGCTTTGGGTGGAGCTCTGCCAGGTTGGATGCCAGGCACCCCAGCTTTCCGTGGAGGGATGTGGGCAGCTGGGACAATCGCCCACGGTGACCTGGGGAGGCAGGGCCTCTTCAGAGACTTGGCAACTCGGAGGTGAAGCTCTCGCTGTGTCCCCTCCTCCCCGTGCCTAGTGTCTGGTGGCCAGCTGCGGCATGCACTGGCCACACCAAAACCCGGGTGTTCCCTCCCCGTGCTGCTAGGCGGGCAGCTAAGGCCCTGGCTGTCTCCGGCCTGGGGGGGTGCCAGTGTGAGCCCCTCCCGATGTGCCCAGGGACCCGATTAGCTGTGGTGCCTTGAGCAGGGGCCTTGCCTGGGTGCGAGGTTGCAGAGCACCGTCTGCTGGGTAATTTCCTCCAGCCCCCAGTCCCACCTGGCAGACCAGGCCAGGCTCCTTGAGGGCTCCAGGGGCTGTCCTGCAGCGGGCACCTTCGCGTCCCCACAGGCCGAGGGCCACGCCGGGCACTGTGTCCGTTGGGGTATTTTCAGTGGTGATGGTTGGCGACGCGGCACCTGCCCGGGCCCAGTGCCCCTCTGCAGCCTTTCCCCTGCGCGGCTGCGGGCTGCACTTGTGTCCTTCGGCTGGACCGTGGTTCAGGCTCAGGTTCTGGGAACCTTCAGCCAGGCATGAGGCTGCTGTCTTCCTGAGCAGCACTGCGCTGGGCCTGGGCACTGCCGGGCGCTGAGCTCTGTCCTGGAGCCTCTCCTGCGTCTGGTGGCCACCAGACCTTGGATCCCTGGCTCGAGCCGTCCCCGCCACTCCGTCCCCGGCACCAGCCTGGGGAAGCCTGGGTTGGACCGGGTGCACCATCCCCGCATCTGGGCTTAGTCTGCATGTGGTGAAGTGAGGAACCATCTCCTTGGTCCTGTAGCCTCTCCTGCTGGCTCTGTGCTGCCGCCAGGCCCCCGGCCTTGGCTGCCCGCAGCTCCTGAGTGACCGCCCAGCGCCTGCCACCCGTGTGTGTGTGTGGGGGGCGCACGGGCTCTGAGCCGGCCAGGGCGGCAGCTCCCAGCCGCCCCTCCCCGGCTCTCACCGCCGCCACGCGGGCCACGCATTGAGGGCACACTGTCCCCAGAGGTACAGTGCAGAGCCCGTGTCTCAGGGACTGGCGCTGGGGGGGAGCGCACGCGCAGCGGCCACACTGCAGACACCCCCCCCCCCCCCCCCCGCTGCAGGAAAGAAGGCTGTGCTGGACTCCAGCCCCTTCCTCTCGGAGGCCAACGCGGAACGCATCGTGAGCACGCTGTGCAAGGTGCGCGGGGCGGCGCTGAAGCTGGGTCAGATGCTGAGCATCCAGGGTGAGTGTGGCACGGCTTCGCCCGGGGAGCAGGACAGGACACACTGACTCACCCGAGCCGTGCCGAGGGGGTGCGCGTGGGGCCCGCGGGGAGCCAGGCTGCTGCTTGCTGCCTGCGGGGGAGCGCCCGCTTTCCAGTGGTGCCCCAAGAGGGAATGGTGAGAGCAGCCGTCACACTGCGTCCCCCGGCCGGGCGGTGGTGTGGGCGCAGCCGCAGCGCCAGTCCCCGGGCCGAGCACGGGTCCCGGGGCCGCTGAGGCGGGCAGGGCGGGCCGGCTGCGTGCACCGCTCCAGCTGGCAGAGCCGTGGCCTTGTCCGGTGGGACTCCAGGAGGGGGTGGGGAGACTGGAGGGATGGGCGGGAGCAGCCTGAGGTGGTCAGATCCCCATGTCACGTCAGAGCCCTGTTGGGTGACAGGTAGTCTGGGCCCAGTACCCGTGGGGTGGGGGTGGCGCTGGGCACCGGGACCCGGGCTCTGGCCTCTCCACGAAGCTGGTGTGTGCCTGAGCATGCCGCAGCCTCCGTCCAGAGCCTGTGCCAGGAGGAGGCAGCGGCCAGCCTTCTGCTTGTCTTGGACCTGGGGTCCAGACGGAGGCGTGGCGGCCGCTGCCCACTCCGTGCCCAGGAGGGTGCACTCTGGCGCTGTCCAGTGCCTGCTTCCTCCATGCTGCTCACGGCCTGTGCCTTCCAGACGATGCCTTCATCAACCCTCACCTGGCCAAGATCTTCGAGCGTGTGCGGCAGAGCGCCGACTTCATGCCGCTGAAGCAGATGACGGTGAGGAGCGCAGGCCACGGGCCACAGCGTGAGCTCCCCAGGGGGCCGGGGCAGGTGGCGCTCAGGGCCTCCGCTTGATCTCCCCTGCAGAAGACGCTCAACACGGACCTGGGCCCGCACTGGAGGGAGCGGCTGGAGTACTTCGAGGAGCGGCCCTTTGCAGCCGCCTCCATCGGCCAGGTGCACCTGGCCCGCCTGAAGGGCGGCCGGGAGGTGGCCATGAAGATCCAGGTGGGCGCGCCCAGGCCGCTCTGTGCCCAGCCTTCCCATGCGGGCTGGGCCCCCTCCCTGCCCCCTCCGCACCTGCACGCCCGGTGTGGGACTTGTGCCCAGCCAGGAGCGGCTGTGGGCAGAACAGCCCAGCCTTGTCCACGTTTTGGAGGCCAGGCGGATGCCTGCTCCTGGCGGGGAGGTGGGCACGGTGGGCGGGCAGCTTGGGGAAGGGCCTGCTCTGTGTCTCTGTAGTATCCTGGTGTAGCCCAGAGCATCAACAGTGACGTCAACAACCTCATGGCCGTGCTGAACATGAGCAACATACTCCCGGAAGGTGGGTGAGGCGCTGCTACGGCACCGTGCGTGTGCGTGAGCGGGTGACGGTGTGTGGCGGGGTTCCGGGACCCCCGCAGAGCCCGACCTCGCCCGCCCTCCCGGCCCAGGCCTGTTCCCTGAGCACCTGATTGACGTGATGAGGCGGGAACTGACCCTTGAGTGCGACTACCAGCGGGAAGCGGCCTGTGCCAAGAAGTTCAGGTGTGGCTCCTGGCGGGGTCCCCGGCCCACGGGGCTTGTGGGGTGAAGGAGCAAGGTCCTCTCCACAACCGAGCGGGGTCTGTGCTGCTGGACTTCTGCGGTGGGGGTTCCAGAGGGTCTGGGGCCAATGTGACCGCCACCCCTCCCAGGGAGCTGCTGAAGGACCACCCCTTCTTCTACGTGCCTGAGATCGTGGACGAGCTCTGCAGCCCCCACGTGCTCACCACGGAGCTGGTGTCGGGCTTCCCCCTGGACCAGGCGGAAGGGCTGAGCCAGGAGACTCGCAATGAGGTGAGGAGCTGCTGGAGGCCTGGCAGGTGCCCAGGGCAGGGTGGCTCCCTCCTCCGGCTGGCACGGGTGGCACCCTGGCTGGCAAGGCATGGGCGTGGCGCTGACACAGCCCTGCCCTCCAGATCTGCTACAACATCCTGGTTCTGTGTCTGAGGGAGCTGTTCGAGTTCCACATTATGCAGACAGACCCCAACTGGTCCAACTTCTTCTACGACCCTCAGCAGCACAAGGTGAGTGGCGTGGGCATGGCGGCCAGGCCCACCCGCGAGGGCCGCGTCCTCACAGGCAGTGAGTTCCTCCCCTCCCCACCTGGGGGCCCAACTTCTCTGTCTCCACCCCAGGTGGCTCTTCTGGACTTCGGGGCCACACGGGAGTACGACAGGTCCTTCACCGACCTCTACATCCAGGTAGGACAAGGCCCGGGTGAGATGCGCTGGACGCACGGGACTGCAGGGGAGGAAGAGCGTCCGAGCTGCGTGCGCAGTGCTGGCTGGGGCCTTCACCTGGGCTAGGAGGCGAGGGGTGAGTGTGTGGACTGGGGCTTGTTCTGCTGCCTGGGTTTCTGGAAGCTTCTATGCATCTGCTCAGATTATCCGGGCTGCTGCGGACAGAGACAGGGAGACGGTGCTGAAGAAGTCCATAGAGATGAAGTTCCTCACAGGCTACGAGGTCAAGGTGGGCGGAGCTGTGGGCAGGCGGTGGAGGCGCAGATGGAGGCTTCTGGGCGCAGGGCGGGCCGGTGTGCTGTGTGTTTGGGGTGCCAGGTGAAGCTGTCCGTTTGTCACCCACCTCGCCAAGGCTCTGGAAGGACAAAGCCTGGGGGCCCAGGCTGTTAGGTGAGGGGTGGGCTCTGATTCTTCGCCGGCAGCTCCTGGAGGCCAGCGCTTGCCTCCACCTTCAGCTTGCTGCTAGCAGGGCTGAAGGGGAGGAGGGTGCATCTGTTCAGCCTGGTTACGCTGGAGGAGTCGTTGGTGGGCGTCCCGGGCTCGCACCCCTCACACCCTCCTCTGGGCAGGCCATGGAGGACGCCCATCTGGATGCCATCCTCATCCTGGGAGAGGCCTTCGCCTCCGACCAGCCCTTCGACTTTGGCACCCAGAGCACCACCGAGAAGATCCACGGCCTGATCCCCATCATGCTCAAGCACCGGCTCGTGCCCCCGCCCGAGGAGACCTACTCGCTGCACCGCAAGATGGGCGGCTCCTTCCTCATCTGCTCCAAGCTCAAGGCGCGCTTCCCCTGCAAGGCCATGTTCGAGGAGGCCTACAGCAACTACTGCGGGCACCAGGCAGCCCCGCAGCGCGGCCCACCTGCCCTGGCAACTCTGCCGGCGGGTGGCTGCCGGCGGGGCGGTGCGGGGAAGAGGCCGGGGGAGGCCACGCGGCTCTGAGGTGGAAGGCGGGCCCGGGCTGCTCGCCAGTGCCTGTGGCCAACAAGACCAGAGACAAGAAGCAAATGCAGGGGAGCCATGTTGGCTTTTGTCAGCCACGCAGTGGGAGGCTGGCGCTTCTGGTGCGGTTTCCGAGTCTGCCTTCTGCCACTCTGCTCTAGGTCGGCACGGGGCCTGGCGCCAGCAGCCGCTGGGGGCCCCAGCAGGCCAGTGCAGCGTCTGTGCGAGTCTTGTGCTCATTTATTGGTTGCCTATCAATAAAAATACTACGAAAAGCCTCGGGACTGCTCCTTGCCTGCCAGGCGCTGAGCCTCCTGGGAGGCGCCAAGGCCCCACTCCCAGCCCCACCTCCAGGTGTGGGAGAGGTCCTCGCCCCCCCAGGTGGGGCCGCCACCTGCCCACTGCCAGCCGGCTGGTGCCAAAGCCCCTGCGGCATTGGTGCCCAGCTCGCAGAACCCACGGCTGAAGGGCACCCTGACAAGAGGCTTTTTCCAGGTGGGGGTGACAGCATCTGGATGCCGGGCGGGCCTTCCCCCAACCCGTGCCCTGAAGACTTTACTTGGGAGGGGCGTGGGAATTCCAAGTCCGGAAGCTTCTCTGGAGTTCAGGAGGGACAAGAACCTGGGTCCCTCTGTGCAGGGCGAGGGTTCGGCTGCTCGACACTGGGCCGGTGCTGTGCCAGCTCACGCTGCCCCCCCCCCCCCCCCCCCCGTCACCCTGCCGGGCCTGGAGGGTCATGCCGCAGGGTGCACAGGAGCCTGTGGGCTCATCTTGATCCTGCAACAGGCCTGGTGTGTAAAGGAGGAACGGGCAGGAGCAGCAACTGTCTCGCTGTCAGAGGAAGAGCTTTCCAGGGAGAGTAGGGGGGAGGGCCAGGCCTCAGGGCCCAGAAGACGGCACGCCCAGCGCCTACTTGCTTATTTTGGTTGTTGATCAAGGGGCTTGAACTCTGGGCCTGGGCGCTGTCCCTCAGCTCTTCAGCTCAAGGTGAGCGGTACACCGCTTGAGCCACAGAGCCACTTCTGATTTTCTAGTGGTTTATTGGAGTTCAGAGTCTCAGACTTTCCTGCCCAAGCTGGCTTTGAACTGCAATCCTCAGATCTCAGCCTCCTGAGTAGCTAGAATTACAGGCGTGAGCCACCGGTGCTTGGCCCTACTTGCTTTTCTTAGGTACTCAAAGGTCAGGGACTGAACGGCTTCCCGTTCCAGCTGAGGTAGTTATGAATGGGACAGGTGGACGTTTGAGCACTTCCGGGTTTGCCTCTGCCCTTCTGGCAGCTGTAGGTGGATGGACGTGGCCTAGATGGACGGCCTAGCACCGCAGTCACTGTGTGGTGGGACCGAAACCAAGGACAATAGGCATCATGAGGCTGGACTCTGGGCATCTGAAGTAGTGGACCTTACAGCACTGAGACGAGAACTACCCGACAACTGCCACAGAAGTACTAATACACTTCAGACCTGAGTGACCCTGGCCACAACCAAACCACAGATCAGCAGAGCTCAGAGCTCAATGATCAGGTCACAGGCAACCCACAGATCAGCAGAGCTCAAGAGCTCAATGATCAGGTCACAGGCAACCCACAGATCAGCAGAGCTCAGAGCTCAATGATCAGGTCACAGGCAACCCACAGATCAGCAGAGCTCAGAGCTCAATGATCAGGTCACAACCAACCCACAGATCAGCAGAGCTCAGGTCACAATCAACACACAGGTCAGCAGAGCTCAGTGACCTGGGTCACAGGCAACCCACAGGTCAGCAGAGCTCAGAGCTCAGTGACCCAGGTCACAACTGAACCATGCATCCGCAGAGCGCAGCAACACAAACGATGAACAGGGCCTTGTGGAAGCCACCACCACGTAGGATTTCCTTTGTGACCTCCCGCCCGCCACACCATGACCTCAGATGCCCAATGGAATGCACCCAAGCCCACACCCAACTTCTTACCAGTGCAGATCTTGGCAGCTAGCACACGGGAAGCCCAGCTGCCCGCCCCGGCTGAAGCAGCAGCGACCAGGACAGCCGAGAAGAGAATGGGCACAGCTACTCCCAGGGCTGAAGGCAGCAGCCGTGTCTCACGGAACTCAGGGAGTCCTCTGTGTGCACGGAAGACTCTGCAGGAAGGAGCAGCAGCACCTGCTGCACCACGTCTGTAACGCCCCCCTCCTCCCCCCCCAGAAGGCTGAGGGAGAGCTGCAGGGCTGGGCTCCAGGGGCTGGGCACCAGCTATGAGGAAGGAAGCAGAGTGAATCTGAGGCCCTTAAGTTCAAGCCCCAGCAGATACAAAAGTGGGTATGTAGCCAGGTACCAGTGGCTCATGCCTGTAATCCAAGCTACTTGGGAGGATCACGGTTTGAAGCCAACCAGAACAGGAAAGTCCTTGAGACTCTTCAATAAACTACTCAAAAAAAGCTGGAAGTGGCGCTGTGGCTCAAATGGTAAAGGTCTAGCCTTGAGCACAGACAGGCTCAGTGACAGTGCTTAGGTCCTAGTACAAGCTGCAGGACAGGCAAGAAAAAAACAGATACACAAGATTCAGCATCTTCCCTCCACTCTTTAGGCTTTTAAACAGGGTAAGGAAAACAGAAGACACCTCATTTGAACAGTTCTTTTTATTGAAGTGCACCAAAAACTGACTAAGGGTTACCAGCATGAAACACTGGTGAGCAATTGTTACATTTTTGATGATTCCACCCTAAGCATTTCTGGGCAACCCCCGCCCCCATCATCATTTGGTAGCAGAGCATCTCAGAAAGTTCCCCAAGACTTGGACAAAAGCCAAATAAAAGAGCTCAAGGCAGTGTCTTCCCCCTCCCCCCACGTGAATCTGTTATGCAAAACTGCACAACAGTATTATGAGAAAAAGCCCTAGGATTTATAAAACAAGTATGGGGCTCTTGGAGATAAAAGGGCTGCTGGGGAGGGTGGTTGGGCCATTGGCTTTGCAGTGCTGTCTTGTGACACTGTGCCGGGGGAGGGGGGAGAGGGAGGGCTGGCGGGGGGGGGGGGGGGGGCGGCGGCTGGAGCTGCCATGCTGCAGGGTCCCGCAGAGTACTGTGGATTAGCACTACTGGTCATGATGCGCCGGCGGCGGCTTTGCATTCCATGTGCAATGGCCCACCATGTGTGTGTCTAGTGGTGGTGTGGGACTAGAGGTCTGGGAGCCAGACTGCTCCCAGCGCCCACCTGTGGTGAGTCCCGCCGGGCAGAGCTGGGACACTTGACTGTGTGGCCACTGCCAAGGCCAGCGCATGGCCCTGTGGCCCTGGGTGTTAGGACTGTGCCCAGCCCGCGCTGGCTTTGCCGCTGCAGCCCTGGAGGACCACAGGAGCCGGCTGGTCCTTCTTGGGAACAGATGTGGCCGCTACGTGGTAACATGCCCGGAGGGAGAGATGCCGAGAGCCAGCGGGGAAGAAGACTTGCTATAAACAGGACAGAAACCTGGACTCTTCCTGGGTCCAGGTCTGAGTGGCCCAGCCCAGAGGGGCTCTCAGGCTGTGTCACAGCGCAGACCCGTGTGCCCGGGGCTTAGCGATGCACTTCCATAAAGCAGCACAGACCCGTGCGCCCGGGGCCTAACGATGCACACTTCCATAAAGCAGCACAGATCCGTGCGCCCAGGGCCTAACGATGCACACTTCCATAAAGCAGCACAGATCCGTGTGCCCGGGGCTTAGCGATGTACACTTTCATAAAGCAGCACAGACCCGTGTGCCCGGGGCCTAACGATGCACACTTTCATAAAGCAGCACAGATCCGTGTGCCCGGGGCTTAGCGATGCACACTTTCATAAAGCAGCACAGACCCGTGCGCCCGGGGCCTAACGATGCACACTTTCATAAAGCAGCACAGATCCGTGCACCCGGGGCCTAACGATGCACACTTCCATAAAGCAGCACAGATCCGTGCGCCCGGGGCTTAGCGATGCACACTTCCATAAAGCAGCACAGATCTGTGCGCCCGGGGCCTAACGATGCACACTTTCATAAAGCAGCACAGACCCGTGCGCCCGGGGTCTAACGATGCACACTTTCATAAAGCAGCACAGATCCGTGCGCGTGGGGCCTAACGATGCACACTTCCATAAAGCAGCACAGATCCGTGTGCCCGGGGCTTAACGATGCACACTTTCATAAAGCAGCACAGATCCGTGTGCCCGGGGCTTAGCGATGCACACTTTCATAAAGCAGCACAGATCCGTGTGCCCGGGGCCTAACGATGCACACTTCCATAAAGCAGCACAGATCCGTGTGCCCGGGGTCTAACGATGCACACTTTCATAAAGCAGCACAGAACCGTGCGCCCGGGGCCTAACGATGCACACTTTCATAAAGCAGCACAGAACCGTGCGCCCGGGGCCTAATGATGCACACTTCCATAAAGCAGCACAGAACCGTGCGCCCGGGGCCTAATGATGCACACTTCCATAAAGCAGCACAGAACCGTGCGCCCGGGGCTTAACGATGCACACTTTCATAAAGCAGCACAGATCCGTGTGCCTGGGGTCTAACGATGCACACTTTCATAAAGCAGCACAGATCCGTGCGCCCGGGGTCTAACGATGCACACTTTCATAAAGCAGCACAGATCCGTGTGCCTGGGGTCTAACGATGCACACTTTCATAAAGCAGCACAGATCCGTGCGCGTGGGGTCTAACGATGCACACTTTCATAAAGCAGCACAGGCCGGCTCCACTCATCATTTCACCAGGAAGACGGCTGGCAAGAGGAAATAGGCGCGTGTGTACATGTATGTGTATGATTTTATAGTCAGAAAGCGTGTGACAAACCAAACAGAATTCAAGGGTAGATGAACATTTTGGCTGCACATAGATAGCACCAAGTGCCAACACACCGGTTCTCTACCAGACATGTCTCCCACTCTATGACTCCCTCTCCCTGGCTCATCAGTTTCTGTGGAGGGGAAAAGGATGACTTGGGGCAGAAACTGCCTGCGGCCTGATTGCCAACTAGCAGGCAATCTGGAAGCCTTCCTCCTGGAACCTGCGTCTCCTCCACATCCTTCACCTTAGACAGCAGCTGCTAAGTCTTAACACCCCCGGGCTGTGACGCCGTGTGCTGTGACCGAATGAACACCAGGAGGTTTACACGACAATCCGATCCTGAAGCAGCCTCGAGAATCAGCTCCTACAGGCTACAAAACTGCAAACGAGCAGCAAGGAACAGCTCAGGAGTCCAGCCAGAGAAGCAGGTGTCAGATCGACTGAACAGGCCAAACGAGGTCTAACCTTTGACACTCGATACACAAAAGTATTTGATATAACACTTGTTTTCCAAAAGCAGAATGATCTGGATTATAACCACCGTGAATCTCTCCCGTTCGGAATACCCTTGGGTCCAGGGAGCCAGGCGCACTCTGATGCGCGGGTGCGGGAGGCGCAGGGCGGCTGGCAGTGACCACAGCGCGGGCGCACCGCGAGGACAGCAGAGCTGCAGGCCCAGGCAGGAGCCGTGGGAACCCTTCGCTTTAGCTTGACGGGAGGGAGAAAACCAACCCCCCCAAAAGGTGAAGAGAGCAGGCAGACTCGTTGCTCCATGAGATAGCTTTATTTTTCTACTCGTGTAACGGGTACAGTGGCCGCAGACGAGCTCCGGTCGGCGCCTCTGGGGCCGCTCACGCGGGGGCAGGCGCGGGGTAGTTCCTCAGTGTCTGGGGAGCAGCTCTCAGGAATCGCTCTGGAACCTCCCAGGCGCCCGCGCTCCTCGAGCCCGTGGGCGGGGGTCCCTGTGCAGTGCACGGAGCCACGGGTGGGTGGGCGCAAGCTCTAGGCCAGACACGAGGTGGCGGGGAGGGGGGGAGGGCAGGGGGGAGGGCGGGGGGGGAGGGGAGGGCAGGGGGGGAGGGCAGCGGGGGAGGGAGGGCGGGGGGGGGGGGCGGCGGCGGGGGGGGGGGGGGGAGGGCGGCGGCGGGGGAGGGCGACGGGGAGGGCGGCGGGGGGGGGGGAGGGCGGCGGGGAGGGGGGGGAGGGCGGCGGGGGAGGGAGGGAGGGCGGGGGGGGGGGGAGGGCGGCGTCCGCCCGTCTGTGGGCTGGGCGCTGTGCGAGCCTCCGCGCTCTGCCCCCCCAGCCTTGAGAGGCCTTTCTTCTACCCTGTACGTGTCGTGGCTGGGAAAGACGAGAAACACATTTCTTTAAATTAAAGAGCTCTCTTATATTCGCATCCATGTTCAGGGTACACGATGCTTCTCTGGCTATGTACATCAGCACGTAGGCTGCGTCTCCGGGTTTAGGCGGCGTGGTAGGAAGAGCGCAGGCTGGCGGCAGGCGCCGCTGGGCCAGGCTGCGCGGGGCTTCGCCGCCCCGCAGTCGGCCGGCTGCGTGGGGAGGGGAGGTCTGCACACAGGGACGTCGCCGCAGCCGCGGGCGGGCTGCGCTGCCCCTCCTCCAGTCCTTCCCCGCTGAGGTGGGAGGAGATGCTGGGCAGAGGCGGGGAGGGCGTGGGCCGGCTCAGGGGTCCCAGCCTCCGCGGTCGGTGCTCTCCAGAGAGAGGCTCTTGGTTTTTCGGGGCGACACCGGGCTCGGGGGGCTGCTCAGGTTGGAGCTGTTGGAGGCTGTGGAATGCCGCGGGGAGTCGGAGTCCTGCAAGCCCAGGGCAGAGCGCAGTGAGCGGAGGCGCCGCAGGGCCGGGCCTGCGGGTGGGGCTGCACCCCGCGGCGGCACTCACCTCTCCCTCGTAGCCCCTGGCCGGGGTGTCGCTTCCGTGGTCCATGCCCCCCGACGACAGAGAGCCCTCGGACGGGGAGGGCAGGGGCTGCCGCTTGGCGTAGCCTCCGCCCGACAGCTCCCGCTTCAAGGCGCTGCCGTTCTGCGCGGAGGAGCCTGCGGACACCACCCACGCTTTACCCCCGCGAGCGTGGACACGGCCCGCCCGCCGCCTCCCACGCCAGCCACGGCCACAGGCAGCCTGGAGCCCGCAGCCCCGCGGCTTCCTGCCGAGACTCAAGGTCTCCTCAATACCCACGGAGACTTCACAGCCATCCCCCACCCATGAGCACCCAGAGTCCCACCCCCATGAGCACCCAGAGTCCCCATCCCATCCCCCACCCATGAGCACCCAGAGTCCCCATCCCATCCCCCACCCATGAGCACCCAGAGTCCCCACCCCATCCCCCACCCATGAGCACCCAGAGTCCCCACCCCATCCCCCACCCATGAGCACCCAGAGTCCCCACCCCCATGAGCACCCAGAGTCCCCACCCCATCCCCCACCCATGAGCACCCAGAGTCCCCATCCCATCCCCCACCCATGAGCACCCAGAGTCCCCACCCCATCCCCCACCCATGAGCACCCAGAGTCCCCACACCCATTCCCATCCCCATGAGCACCGAGTCCCCACCCCATCCCCCACCCATGAGCACCGAGTTCTCACCCCCATCCCCCACCCCATGAGCACCCAGAGTCCCCACCCCCACCCCCCATCTCCATGAACACCCAGTTCTCACCCCCATCCCCCACCCCATGAGCACCCAGAGTCCTCACAGCCATCCCTGTGAACACCCAGAGTCCCGGTGCCCATACCCACCGCCACCTTGGTGCCGCTGATGGTCCCCAGTGCACAGGTGCGGGCCTGGCGGGCTCCAAGCAGGGAGCCAAGGTGGAGGCAGAGGGGGAAGCCTGCCTCAGACGGCACCGACAGACCCTCCCCTCCGGTGCAGAACAATTCATCTACAGAATTCTCATACAAAACAATCTGCTAGGCGCTGGTGACACACACACCTGTCACCCTCGCTCCTCACACCTGTCATACTAGCTCCTTGGGAGGTTGAGATCTTAGGTCGGCAGTTCAAACCCAGCCCGGGTAGGAAAGGGAGACTCATCTCCAAATCAACACCAAAAAGCCGCAAGTGGCCCCGTGGCTTCAGTAGTACAGACAGCACCAAAGCTCAGGGCAGTGCCTGGTCCCTGAGTTCAGGCCCCAGGACCAGCACAAAAACAAAACAAAACATAGGAAACACAGAGGAACCCCTGTCCCCCACGAGCTGAGGCTGAGCTCGCGGTCACCGCACTCCTGGCTGGGCTCTGCCGGCACAGGGGGGCACCTGCCGCACTCCCAGCAAAACAAGGAGCAGCATGGGCGTGCTCTAGGGCCCACCTAAGCTCTTCCCCTTCCCGTCTGCTCTTCTGTTCGACCCTGCGGCGCTGGAAGTGAACGGCAAGGCCAGCGGCTGCGGCGTCACACGGAGCACGAGCGCGGCCGCACAGTCCTCTTTCACACCTTTCCTTCTGGAGAGGCTGCAGCGCCCTTCTCAAGGAGGAGAGGGAGCAGCCAGGGGGTGGAACCATCCAGCAGTGGTGACCTTGGCTTTCTGGGAGAACACTTGGCCGTGCTCTGTGGGGAATCTAGCGGGTGACGCAGGGCTGGGCCAGGGCTAGGGGTGAGGGGCACATTGCAGGGCTGGCAGACCCCGGGAGGGTCTGAGGGGCGTCTGTGTGCCTGAGGTGGCAGGAGGGGGTGTGGGCCCCAGTGCAGACAGTGTATGTCTGACTGCCCCTTGGGGGGCCAGTTGAAGGTACCCCACACAGCAGACACCCCTTGGGACTCTGGGGGTCCCTTCCTCAGATCTCTACAAACAGCTCATCAGGCCTTCTCAGGAAGCTGGCGTGCGGGAGCTCAGGGCTGGCAAGAGCGTGTGGCTTGTGCTGGTTAGAGCAATGCACACCCTCCTCAGGCCCCGCTGCAGGACTCTCGCTGCTTAATGCTGATGTGTCTGTGGTACTGTTCCAGATCTTTCCAGGAACGTAACCTACTAAGGGAAAATTACTTTCTAAAATGTATTCTACCAAAAAAAAAAAAAAAATCTGAAGCTGGGCATCGGTGGCTCATGCCTGTAACTCTAATTACTCAGGAGGCTAAGACTGGAGAATCTTGGTTTGGCGCCGGCCCCAGGCGGGAAAGTCAGTGAGATTTGTATCTCCTATTACAACACCAAAAGGTTGGGAATGGGAGCTATTGCTCAACTCAAGTGGTAGAGCACTAGTCTTGAGCAAAAAAAGCCCCAGGACCAGTATACACACAAAGTAAGATCCTCTGAATTCTAGAGAATGCCGCACCATTGTACTTCTCTACCCGTTAACTTCAACCCACTATTAGCCACCACAATCACGGGCAGGGCAGGACCACACTTGTGTGCGCACGAGTCCCCACTGGTGAGCATTGGCGGGGGGGGGGGGAGGAGCCACAGATGTGGGCAGAGCAACAGTAACGCTGCAGCTCTGCACTTCCACTCCCGTGTGCTCAGCCCGCCCCGCGGCCCTGGCCGACCCCAGGGAAAGCACAATGCTAGCCACCTGCCCGCCAGTGGCCCCCACAACCTCGTCAGATACTGACATCTCAGCCGTCTGGGTCTGGGAGAATGTGCTCTGAGATCAGTGACGCAGCCACTCAGAGCTTTCCTCTCGGGCTCCCCGTGCTCGGCCCGAGGTCCTCAGAACCCTGCCCTGGGTGTGTGTGTGTGTGGGGGGCAGGTGTAATGCCACACCCTCGGGGCACTCCAAAGGGACAGAAAGACCCCAAGGAGTGAGGGCTGCCAGTGCCAGGGCGGGGGCCTGCCCATCACAGGAAGTCTGCTCCACCCAGGAAGAGCAGACCCTGACCCCGAGATATGGGGAGACAGTAAGTGTTTACTTTTTAAGCTTCCAGGCTGATTCGCTATAGAGAAAGCAATAATGACGATGGCGTTTGTCCGGTTTCACGTCTCTGTGGGTACACAGCCTGTGCTGAAGCCAACACTGACTGAGAAACAAGCGTACAGAGACAATTGGATGCAGACATCCAACAATCAACAACAGGGGAGAAGGGAGTTTTCTGCCTGAAAGACTCCAATGCAAACGTCAGTTTAGTGAGCTGTTTTCTTTCAGAGCTGGGAGGCCTGGGGTAAAGAGACGCTCCACTGGGTGCAGGCTGGCGGCCAGGGCGGAGACGTGGCCATGGCCAGTCTCTAAGCTGCGCCCCGCTGCAGGACCAGAGACCAGCTCCTGACCCAGAGCCGCAGCACAGCCCTTTCACCCTGGAACCCTGGGGAAGCGAGCAGACTCCACCTGGAGGCCCCCAATCAAGGTGCGGTGGGGCGGGGCGGGGTGGGGCGAAGAGCCCAGCAGGGATGTAGGCTCCAGGCCTGGCAGCTTGCGGTGGCCCGCCTTGCGACTCTCAGCCCGCATCTCAGGCTTCGCACACCCTGGCAAATGGCAAGTCTGACTCCACAGCACGCCCCCCCCCCCCCCCCCCCCCGCCCTGGTGGCTCTCACAGCTGGCTCCCCACTGATGCTTGTTTGCGGCCTCTGGACGCCTCTGCTCTCCTCTCCTGCCTGCATGTGCCCAGCAGCTCTGGCTGCCACCACTGCCTGTCCCGCGCCACTAAACATACAGACTGTGCCAGTGTCCTCCCTTAAGTTCTCACTGCATTTTGATGAAGATGGAACATTTCCTGCCTTGTCTCCAAGCTCTGTGGATCTGTCTCCCACCTCCCTCCTTCTTCCCACAACCACGTGCCACGCTCACTTTTGTCTAGCCAGACACCAAACACAATTCCACCTATCCGGCTGGTGTCACTTTCCTCCTCCGAGGGCCCACACTGACGGCTACCTGTCACCTTCCACCAGCCCAGGTGGCTACCTCTGCCTGCCGCCCGGGGCCTGCAGCTCTGCAGACACCACGGCCTCCTTCTCATGGCTGCACCTGGGCCACCCGGCGTCTCCCAGCAGGGTGCTGAGCTCCTCACCACGCAACAGCAGCTGAGCAGGCGCGAGCCACGATGCCACTGCAGGGCAGGGGCGGGCGCAAGCCACGATGCCACTGCAGGGCAGGGGTGGGCGGGGCACTTACGCGCTGACAGGCCACTGCTGGCACTCACGGAGCGGCCTGGCTCAGGGCGGGATTTGGTGATGGATGGAATACTCACGGAGCCGCTGAATACTGCCCGGCTTTCCTGAGGACGGGGGTTCTGAAAACAAAAGGCATGTCTTTAGCAGAAAGAAACAACAGCTTTTTTTCTGCAAAGGTGTCGATGTCTCACTGTAGTTATGCTAATAATTGTCACAATAATTGTAACAATCTTGACCAGAATGGCAGAGTAAGGAACAGCAGGCACTGCACAATTTCTGCCACTCACATAGGTAATAAGGCCCACCAAGTAATAAGCATCGCCAATCAAGGTGAGTACGTCAGGTCATTTCTTCTGGTTGTGAAAGCAGTTAAGAAGTCAAAGTCACATGGTTAGAGGTGAAGAATTACATGGACATTTGCAGGTAACTTTACTGCACTAGGTAGGAAATTGTAACTTGCACAGGTAGTTGCTGCCCAAGTGCATCTGGAGAAAAGCCAATTAAATCAACGCCCCCGTGGCCGTGCGCCGCCCGGAGCCGGGTGGCGTGAAGGTGCTCTGGGACTGGGGGGGGAGTACGAGTCTGAAGACCGCCCAGGTGGCCCAGCTTCCTGAGTAATCTCTGCAAGCTCTCAGCCACAGTGGGCTGGCAGCCGCCCAACCTCCCGTAGGTATTTTGTGTTCTTTGATTCCATGGAATCAAATGAAAGTCATTCCGTCGAGGCCTGCGTCGGCTCCTTACCAGCTCTCCTCACTAGGTCTCACAGTCACAGAAGCAGAGCAGCCTGACTGCCCCAGGCCCTCCTCTCAGCTCTCCCAGCAGCGGCTGCTCAGAAGGGGTAGAGGCCGAGGCTGAATTCGCAGTTGCGCCTGTGCTGCGCTGCCCGGCCACCGCGGGTGTCTACTCACTGCCTGCCTCCTGGGGTTCTCAAGAGGTTCACAGCCCGCATGTCTACATAAGCAAAGTCCGGGCCCAGCGCAGTGTACCACTTTCCTGCTTTGACAATGGGTCTCACAGCCATCTGTAATTTCACTGCCAAACTCTTCTCTAGTTATCTTGAAACAGCAACTCTGCTGGAGAGGGTGAAACTCTAGAATTCTAGAGGCAAGGCTAACTTGTGAAATGCAATAAAAAAAAAAAAATCACATCAAAGCTGGGTGCCGGTGGCTCACGCCCAGCTACTCAGGAGGCTGAGATCTGAGGATCACGGTTCAAAGCCAGCCCAGGGCAAGAAAATCCATGAGACTCTTATCTCCAATAAACCACCAGAAAATGGAGGTGGCGCTGTGGCTCAAGTAGTAGACCATTTGCCTTGAGCTGAAGAGCTGAGGGACAGCGCCCAGGCCCAGAGTTCAGGCCCCACGACCGACCAAAAAAAAAAAAAAGAAAAGAAAATCACATCAAAGTAGTTAGAAAGTTAGAAATGCAAGTTCTGAGCCATCTCCAACAGTTCATATATTAAGAAAAAATAATGAGCCAAGTCAGACTTGTGCACTGCTTCTGCATGACTGCACTTCTGAGTGCTCCTTTCTCATTCTATACACAGCACACAATGGCCGCGGCCACTGGCACTGCTGAAAAGCAACTGGGAGAGTCTCCATCTCCCAGAAGTTCACTGTAAGTGTCCACCCTTTCTTGACTGTAGGCTATGGAATATCAATTAATAAGGAGATCATAGAAGAGACCATGCCTCTGTGCACTATGAACAATTTAGTGTCTCCTGTTCATCTTTTTGTCCAATGAATTTTTCTTAAAAGGACTGATCATACTAGATCATGCCAATGCCAGGAGCGGGTAGCTCACACTTGTAATCCTAGTAACTCAGGAGACTGAGATCTGAGCATCTTGGTTTGAAGCCAGCCAAGGCAGGAAGGTCCTTTACAATCTTCAATTAAGCATCAAAACGCCAAAAGTGGAGCTGTGGCTCAAGAGGTAGAGGGCTGGCCTCAAGCAAAAGAGTTCAGAGACTGCCCAGGCCCTGAGTTCAAGCCCCAAGGCTGGCATCAAGAAAAATAAAAAGGCAATAAAACATAAAATAAACTAGTGTGTTTTAAAATGTTACTACTGTCTGCCTCACTTTACTGGCTCAAAACTATAAACCTTTGATCTGTTAAGCCCACACCATTTATTTTTGGTATGACTTGGATTTGTTTGGGATTCTCATTTATCAATGTTTATACACATTTATGTTAGCAGAATGCTTTAGAAAGCTCAGCAAGAGAGTAAGTCTAAATGCTTAAATGTAATGTTTCGATGTTCAACAGACAGACATTTGTTCTTTCAACCCAGAAAATAAAGAGAGTGCTGCTGGAGGCAGTCTCCCCAGACTCAGCCCCTGGGATCATGGCTTTCCTGGGGCACGGTCCAGCCTGCCCGGTTGTTTAGGAAGCCCATGGCTCCTGAACGGCTCTACGTCATTCTTCTCTTCTTGCCATTTCTCTTTATGTTTTCTAAGCCACACCCAGACCTGACCTTTTTGTACTGACTGCATTAGGGCCACACTAGACTCCAGTACCTTCAGCTGAATAAATGAAAGAATTATATCTGCAATCCCAATTTTCGACTTCAAGTATTGGGATTATTAAGATGACAAGGTAATTCCAAGACTTCAACTTGATCCTAGACAAAGAATTATGGGTGTGGGTATCACCTGAGCAGAACGTCTGTGCAGCGCGGCTGCACAGTGTTTTCCTGGTCCCAGCCGTCAGCGAGGCAGAGGACAGAGGGAAGGGCAGCATCTGGAGGCCACGTGCACATCCTGAAGAGGCACCTGCTCAAAGCTGGCTCACTGTCCCACATTCTGCATTACCACTTGGTGCCTACACTAAACTGGCAAAGTCCATGTCATTCTTAATGAGTTATGTGCTTAAAGCAAAAGCTTGCCTTTCTTCTTCCCCAAGAAAATAAAGTGAACGGAATCAGTGCTAGCAACTCAACATTTACACAAAGAAGATGCAAGCAACAGGGGTATAATGCAGCCAAAAAAGCTCAGAACAGGCAGGAATATCAATTTTAAGTATACACTGCTATTTATCCTCTCGTCTCAAGACACACTGGCATATTTTTTCCTGTAAATAAGCCTACCCTACAAAAAATAGAAAAGAAGCTTTTAAAATATGCCAGTTAGTCAGCTGTTCCCAAATATTAAAATAAAAAATGATACGCAAAAATATTTTATAGCTGGGCACTGGTGGCTGACACCTGTAATCCTAGCTCCTCAGGATGCTGAGATCTGAGACCCTTGGTTCGAGGCTAGCCTGGTCAGGAAAGTCTGTGAGACTCTTATCTCCAATTAACCAGCAAAAAGGCAGAAGTGGAACTGTGGCTCAAGTAATAGAGCTACTAGGCTTGAGCAAAAAAGCTCAGGATCAGTGGTGACCAGGCCTTGAGTTCAGGCCCTAGGAATCATGCCCCCACCCCACCCTCAAAAATAAGTTTTTTACACATCACTCAGCCAATCAACATTAAATATGCCTCCTTAGAAAGGGAAAGAAACAGAAGCCTTTGGTTTTTTTCTAGTTACTCTGATGGTACTGTCCTGTTCAAGGATGACTTGTGGGCTAGAACTTTACCATGGCTCAGTATCACCTTTTACATAAGAACCTCACCATGGCTCAGTATCACCTTTTATATGAATGACAGCAACCTGGGAAACCAGTTCTAAGACTAGTTCTTTTTTTTTTTACATCATGATTCATTCTTTTTTTTTGCTGGTACTCAGGATCTTATGCTCTCACTTGACTTTTTAAAATTTTTTAATTTTTTAAATTTTTTTATGCTTTTTTTATTGTGAAAATACTGTACAGAGGGGTTACAATTACATGGGCAAGATAATGAGTATTTCTTATCAAGCATTGTAGCCTCCTCCTTTGTTTACCCTTCCCATCCCATCCCCCCTCACTTGACGTTTTTGCTCCCAGTTGGTGATCTTCCACTTGAACCACTCCAATCTGCCCCTTTTTTTTTTTTTTGCTAGTTAACGGAGATGAGTCTTATGGACTTTTCTTCCTGGGCCAGCTCTGAACCTTAAGCCTCAGGTCTCAGACTGAGTATTTAGGATTACAGATGTGAGTACCAACACCTGGCACTGTCATGATGAACTCTGTCAGGTAAGATACCTAGATGACTTTTTAATGTCAATGACAAAAACATTTAAAACATAATTTAGATTAATTTTGTACATTCAAAAATGAGCTTTTTGCTGGGCACAATGAGCACAATGGCTCATGCCTGTAAGTCTACCTACTTGAGTGGCTGAGATTGAAAGATAGCAGTCTGAGGCCAGACTGTGCAAAAAGTCTGAAACCCAGTCTCAACCAAAAAAAGCTGGACACGTGGCATGTTCCCGTCATCACAGTTACAGCAAGAAGGGTAAATAGGAGGACTGTAATCCATGCAAACTGGGGAAAAGTGAGGCCTTGTCTCAAAATAGCTGGAACAAAAAGGGTTGGAGGAGGCCTCAGGTAGTAGGGCACATGCTTAACTAAGTCGGGTTCAAACTCAGTGCTGCTATCCCCAAAACGCCACAGCCAATTTTCTTATTGGGAAATTACTACACATGCAAATTTTAAGAATTGATACTACCAGTTTTCTATTATGGGAAGTGAGTTCATATAATCCAATCCAAAGCTGGAAGTCAGTATAGCATATAATACTTGATAAAAGCATGGCTCTTCTGTTTAATAGCCGCTCTCCACCTCAGGGCAGGAGCACTGTACACAAAGGCCCAGGACCGCAGGAGGGAGGAGGGCCAAGGGCACGTGGATTCCGTTTGTTTCTTATCTAGCCACGACTGGTGGACTCACATCTATTATTTTGAATACTAGCTGGAAGGAAATGCGTATCAGCAAATTTGTCTCGGTTTTGGAATTCTACCCACTATTCACTTGTAGTACTGTAACTCTACTTTGACTTTAGGGCTTTTCAAAAGGGTATATCTATGGATACAAATATTAACTGCACTAAAGGCAACGTTCTCTGAATTGGTTATAGGGAAATGAGCTACTAAGGATTCAGAAATTCAGAGAACTTTTTTTTTTTTTCCTGTTTATCAAGGACAAACTCCATTCAGGGCTATTTTTTTTTTTTTTATGATGGTATCTGTAACAGAAAATATCAC